AAATTATGGGAATTTTTTTATTTTTTATCAACAAATTTAATATCACTTATATATATTTTGCATCTTAATTTAAAAAAATTACTATTTTACAAAAATAAGTTTTCAAACAAATTTTAATTATTTAATATAAATCACAAATCCAGAGAGAGAGATAGTGAAGATATTAAACATAAGAATTTTATGCTCTTTTGTCATACTTAAATACTAATATGTGTTAGTATTGTATTATTAAATGAATCTTCAATCCCTTGTACAGAGTCTTCAATTCTCTTAATCTTTTTTCATTACTGTAATTTTACCTAATTATCTTATTTTCTTATTAGATTTATTACATTTTAATCAAATACAATTTTCATTGTATTTTAATTATATATACAATTTTTTGCATTTTAATTAGATACAGATTTCAATCCACATGTATAATATCAATGGAGTAAGATGCAAATTATAATTCATTTTAAGTTATGATATTTTAATTATTTTTAAACTTTTAAAAAGTAAGGATATATTTATTAAAAATTAATTAATACAATCTTAAACTTTACCATCTTGTATTTTTTTTTAAATTGTTTATCATTTTCTTTTAAATTATATGAAGTTTAAGATGGACTTCTATTATTTTTAATTAAGTTATTAGTATTTTCCATTAATACTTTTATTATTTTATTATTATCTCCATCTAAAATTACTTTCGCTAATTTGTTATCTTTTCTTCATAATAAATATAATTAAAAATATAATAGTATAATTAATAAAATTTCAAATTTAACAAACTATGTATATTTATAACGAAAAAAATTCTTATCAAAACATTTTGAAAGGCTCACCGAAAATCTATTACTAAACACTTATTTAAAGATTACAACTCAATATATTATAATTTCTTTAATAGATTTCCTTAAGTTTCCTTAAAATATTAACTTCCAATTTTGTTAATAGATGTATTAATTAATTTACAAAATATTCTTAACATTTTAATATTTTCTCAACCCAAAATAATTTATAATAACTTATTATCGATTTCGATATATATTGAGAGTTTCATATTATTTTAAAATTAAGATTAAGAGTAATTCTTAAATATTATTTTTCTTAAATTTATTAAGATATTAAAATGAATAATATTTTAAATATAATAATCAATTTTAATTTAACGATATTATTATAATAAATATAAAATTGAATCTATCTTTATTGAATAAAAAAATATATTTATTTTAAAAAAATATATTATAAAAAATAATTAATATAAATTTAAAATTCACGAATAATAAATAATTAAAGAGATTTTTTCAAATAGTCATTGAAACAAAAAAAAAAAGGAAGTATAACTCATTTATAAAAAATGAATGTTACCATTGGTTGTAATATAGATATTTATCTTCTAATCTCAGACAGAAATTAACTTTCTTGAATTTGAAATCGTAAACTTAGTTTATTCATAGATAGAAATGACAATATCTTTAAATGATTGACCATTTGGAAAGAAATTTAATCGCCACACTTAAAAAAGGACGAAACCAGCAGCTTAAGCTTCATTGACCCAAATCGTTCAGACCAAAGTCTTGCATTGGAAAGTCTGCGGGTCCCACATCGCTGGCAAGAGGAACTTCCTCCCATTCCCGCCGTTCGCATTGTAGCTCGCCCCCGTCCTCCGGTCCACCAGAACCCGACCCGGGTAACCTGGATACGCTGCGCTCCCGAAAATCCCCACGCACGCCGAAACGGCCTCCAGCGGCGCTGTCGGAGGACCCTGAAAAAAGCCACCGTTGAAGGGGTTCGTCACAGTTCCCGCCAAAAGAGTTGCAATGTTTATGATCATGCCGTCCACGCCAACGTCGCCGTTAGGCGCAACTAACGGCGGCGTCTGTGGGCCGAAAGTGGGCCTGTGGAAGGGCCAGGCGCATTGCCCGGGACATTGGGCCTCGGAGTTGCCGACCCAGACGTAGGGGATCCTCCCGTTGATGGAGCGGTGGGTCCCACAGCGGCTACTGCAGAAGCCGTCCACTGCAACGTCGTTTGCGGTGAGAACGAGGTTGATTGCTGAAAGGTCGTTGAAGCGTGAAGCGAGGTTCAGTAAATTGTTTTCGTTGAGATGCTTCCCGAGGGAATATCCTTCCATGATTTGCTTCCCTACGACGAGTGTAGTGGAGCCGCCCTTGTACTTCTCCGTCGTCTGCCACCACGAGGCGACGGAGGGAAGTTGGGCTCCGGCGGGGATGCTCAACGAGTTGACGAAGTCAACGATTATGGAGCGTTGGGTTGGGGTGAAGCTCCCGTACCATAATACATTAACGGTGAAGCGCCCCTTGAGAAGCGCGCCGTTGTGGTAGTTGAGCACCAGCTTCTCCTGCTCCGCTTCCACCCCCATTCTAGGGTTTAGCATTAGCAGAACACAACACAATGCCATGCCCAACAAATATTTCGAAACCATTTTGATATCCGAGAAAGAGAAAGAATGGAGATTGTGTGTGTTGTGTGCATCAACATGAGAGAATGGGAAGAGGTATTTATAGATGATTGTAGCGTCCTTTTTGGCATCACAACCCGCATGCTCAACTTCATTGCGTTTACTAACACGCTCCTATTATTTCTCTCTAATAATTTATTTATTGCAATTTCACATTTTTAAGACTATAACTTAAAAAATAATAAATACATTTTTTAAATATCAGTTTTGTCAACAGTTATGCACTGTACCTGACAAAATATAAATTATAATAGATATAATTTTTTCATTTTATATAATTCTTTTCCTCCTAACTAGTTTTTTTTGTGATATTTTTTTTATATTTTTTATCATTTCCTTTTTAATGTTTTGCTTAAATTGAAAAGGAATTTTAGAAAAAAATAATGCATTTATATTGAGAAAAAAAATGAATATGAGTGAAAAAGAAAATAAATTAATTGACTTAAGGTAAAAGAGAAGTGAATATTGTATATGAGTAAAAAAATTGATAAATTTGTGATTTAATGTTATTATATTTTATTTTTAAAAGACATGAAATGATTTGATTGGGAAAATAGGTGTATGGTAAAGGGAGTTGTGTGGATAAATTAATTATAAAATAAAATTAATTATATTTTATTTCTAATAATAATAAAACTGGTCATTCTGGCACTGATTCAATAATAATTAGTACATCTTATCATTATGTGTATAAAAGTTAAGATACTCAATCTGTTAAAATTATTTGATTAAGAAAACTTCAATAACAAATGTATGTATTAATAAGATATAAACAAGGAATTAACTTAAATATAAGTTAAGAATTAGTGTTAATTAATTTAAAGCAGTAACTAATATAAATTCTGAAAAAAAAAACTGAAGTGAATTATTATTTAAATTTACTTAAAAAAAATACTTTTTTATTGGAATTATATGATTTAAACTCAATTATAATTTGTAAAATAAAAAAAATGTGTTGTTAATATATAATAGTTTAACAATTTAAACAGCTGAAATAATTAAAAAGCAATTAAAATAATTGACTTATTCAAATTATAATACAGTTGATTTTAATTTATTTAATCAAATATATAGTTGAATTTAGTTCTATCATTTTTGTTAAGATTAATCTAATTTTAAAATAGTTTCATTGATATATGTTGTTTATTACAATGGAAAAATAGGATACACTTCACCTTCAATCCGCCCCAGTTAATACAAAAATTTGTGCTAAGTGAAAGTTAAGGTAAGGGTTTCAATATGATTTTTAATTTGTGAGTTAATTTATAAAATTAAAATAAGATTTTGATAAAATAATAATAAAAAATGTAATTTTTAGTCAAAATGAACCCAATCAATTTAATTCGTGAGTTGAACAGACTTTTGTCAGTTTAATTGGGGATTGACCCCTGACTTTTTATTTAAAGTTTTAATAATTAAATTTATTGTATTTTTGCGTAAGTATGTATAAATATATATAAAAAAAATGTTTATTGATTCCATTTATCTAACTCATCTAATTTTATAATTAAAAAAAATAAAAAAATAAAAAGCCTAACAAATATTTTAATAAATAAACAACCTAATCCACTAACCGTAGTTAATTAAATCGCGTTATAAAATTACTAGACTAAAAGTGAATTGGGTAACAACTAATCCATTGACACTAAAATTTCCGAAAATCCATAGGATTTTTGGGAACGATAAACTAGGGTTTTCTAACGGATGTTTTTTTTTTCAATTTATCAAAATAGATAAATTTTAAAAAAATTTATGAATTCAACGTGAACAAATCGTATTTGATGACTATTTCAATTTTTTAATTAAAAAAATACTAATACAACTTAAAAATAGTATTATTTTTAAATTTTATATTATAATAATAATTATATTAATAATAATATTTGTTATTATTAATAATAAAATAAATAATAATATTCATATTAATTATTTTATTACTAAAATAATAATATTATTAAAATGTAATATAATTATAATTATTAATATTATTATATTATTAATCAATGCTCCCCATTAATATATTTTTTAAAAATTAATTACTTATTTACATCCCATTCAAAACATATATTTATTAAAGTTTTCTTTTAGTCGGATTACATTAAAGCATAGTATTATTTTTTTTTAAATTATATTAAAATTATTAATTGCATTAATATAGGCTGTCTTGAATTTATTTTAAAACTGATTACTATTTAGGTAAGTTATCTTAGTCAAATTATTTTAAAATATACATTTATTAATTTTTTAACTTATATTAAAAATCCTAATTAGCAATAATATTCTGATACCTGAAATTAATTAGATTTAAATGGATTATATTTAAATTTACAATGTAATCATTAGAGTTAATTAATAAAAAATTAGTGGTAAATGGAATTACAATACGCGCTTAGTATTATCTATAAATACCTCATCCTCTACTCTGATGTCCCTCGTCCACAACACACACAATCTCCATTCTTTCTCTTTCTCAGATATCAAAATGGTTTCGAAATATTTGTTGGGCATGGCATTGTGTTGTGTTCTGCTAATGCTAAACCCTAGAATGGGGGTGGAAGCGGAGCAGGAGAAGCTGGTGCTCAACTACCACAACGGCGCGCTTCTCAAGGGGCGCTTCACCGTTAATGTATTATGGTACGGGAGCTTCACCCCAACCCAACGCGCCATAATCGTTGACTTCGTCAACTCGTTGAGCATCCCCGCCGGAGCCCCACTTCCCTCCGTCGCCTCGTGGTGGCAGACGACGGAGAAGTACAAGGGCGGCTCCACTACGCTCGTCGTAGGGAAGCAAATCATGGAAGGATATTCCCTCGGGAAGCATCTCAACGAAAACAATTTACTGAACCTCGCTTCACGCTTCAACGACCTTTCAGCAATAAACCTCGTTCTCACCGCAAACGACGTCGCAGTGGACGGCTTCTGCAGTAGCCGCTGTGGGACCCACCGCTCCATCAACGGGAGGATCCCCTACATCTGGGTTGGCAACTCCGAGGCCCAATGTCCCGGGCAATGCGCCTGGCCCTTCCACATGCCCGCTTTCGGTCCGCAGGGACGCTCGTTGGTTGCGCCCAACGGCGACATTGGCGTGGACGGCATGATCATAAACATCGCAACCCTTTTGGCGGGAACTGTGACGAACCCCTTCAACGGTGGCTTTTTTCAGGGTCCTCCGACGGCGCCGCTGGAGGCCGTTTCAGCGTGCGTGGGGATTTTCGGGAAAGGGGCGTATCCGGGTTACCCGGGTAAGGTTTTGGTAGACCCGAAGACTGGGGCAAGCTACAATGCGAACGCCGGGAACGGAAGGAAGTTCCTCTTGCCGGCCATGTGGGACCCACAGACCTTCCAATGCAAGACTTTGGTCTGAACGAATCATTTAAATTTGGCGCCTAAATTTCTTTTTACATGATCAATCAATCATTTAAATATATGAAACGAATCAGAAGAAAGATATTGTTATTTTTATTTATGAATAAACTAAGTTTATGATTTGAATTCAAGAAAGTTAAATTTCTGTCTGGATTACATGATAAATACATATCATATTCAAACAATGCAACGTTATACTTGGGAAAAGCACTACGATGAAATTTAAAAAAAAATTATTGATTTGAGTACTTTTTTTAAAAATTATATAAATAGGTAAATCGTACTGATAGGTCCACTGTAGAATCCCATTATTAAGTACAATTTCAATTTTTCTTTTTCTTTTTATTATTATTATTTTTTATCTTTATGTAAAATCGTGTTATACATTCTTTTATATATATAGTAATTATTTTTATTTATATATATATTATTATTATTATTAAATTTATTATAAACAAATAAAATAATTAATATTTATTATGAATATATATATATATATATATATATATATATATATATATATATATATATAATTCTGTGGATAGCACTGTTGAAATGATTCACGTAAATAGTATAAATTTTATCATTGAAGGTTAAATTCCCACCTTTAAAAATAATAAATTTTAAAATATAATAATAACAATTAAATATATATATATATATATATATTTATATAAAATAAATATATAAATATTATATATATATATATATATTTTTTTTTAATTTTATTTATATAATTATATGAAATAAATATAAATATATTTTTTTATATAACATAAAAATATATTTATATATATATAATTATAATATTAAAATATTTTTATAAATATAGTAAATATAAATATATTTAATATATATATATATATATTATTTAAATATATTTTTATATTCTTATAAATATAATAAAATTTAATAAATATATGTTTATATCTTTCTACTTAATATTTTTACATAAATAAATTATATATATTATTTAAATATATTTTTAATATAAAATAATTTTAGTAAGTAAAATTAATATTTTTTTTATAGAAATATATAAATAATTTTATTATATTTTAATATATTTATATATATTTTAATAAATATGATAAAAACATATTTATATTTTGTTATATACATTATTATAACTTTATTAAATATATAATATATATATTTATAAAAGTATATATAAATATATTAAACATATAATTATACAATATATATTTTATTATATATAAAATTATATATTTATATTTATTATATATTATATTTGATAAAGTTATAATATATATATATATATATATATATATATATTAATATAAGATTTATATAATATTTAAGTATTTATTTAATAAAAATATTTTTAGTAAATAAATATAATATATATAGTTTAAATATTTATTTATATAATTATATCATAAAAATATATTTATATAATTATATGTTTAATATATATTTATTTAAATATGTATTTATTAAATATTTAAATATATAATTATATATATATATATATATTATTTAATAAATTTATAATATATATAACAAAATATAAATATGTATTATCATATTTATAAAAAAATATATAAATATATTAAAATATAATAAAATTATTTATATATTTCTATAAAAAATATTATTTTTACTTACTAAAGTTATTTTATATTAAAAATATATTTAAATAATATATATAATTTATTTATGTAAAAATGTTATGTAGAATGATATAAATATGTATTTATTAAATTTTATTATATTTATAAAAATATAAATAAATATTTAGATATATATATATATATATATATATATATATATATATTAAATATAGTTGTGTTTACTATATTTATAATAATATATTAATAATATTATTATATAAATATATTTTTATGTTATATAAAAAATATATTTATATTTATTTCATATAATTATATAAATAAAAATATATATATATATATATATATTTAATTTTTATATTTGATAAATATTATTATATTTTAAAATTTTTATTAATTTTTAAGGTTTGAATTCGACATTCCAACCGAATTCCAACCATACAACAAAATTCATGCTATTTATTTAAATCATTCCAACAATGTGCTATTTGAATAATTTTTCTCCAATTGTGTGTTTGATGAGAAAAAAAATCGCATGTTTTTGTTTAATAATTAAAGCTCCTATTATTCTAGAATCTATTTTAAGATTGTAATAGAAAATATTTACATAAAGAGATATTTACAATAATTAGAATGGGTTCAGAACTATTGGGTTATACTGATTTGAGTTATTGTTTTGGTAGTCTCTCTCAAGTTAGATGTGTATAAAGATTAATCAACTCCAGTTTGGATACATTAGACTTGAAAAGATGAGGTGGTAATGTCTTTGTCAACAAGCTAAAGAGAATGAAACTGGTAGTAACCGCATGACACCTGTTTGAGCCTTTTCCCAAAGAAGATGATAATTAATTTCTAAATATTTTGTTTTCTCATGAATTTGATGTAATGTACAATGCACTTTGGTTGTCACAATATGATGTTGCAGGTTTGAAATAGCATATTTTAAATTTATTGAGAATATATGTGATTCATTGTAATTCACATGTACTTGTAGCAAGAACACGATACTTCACTTTCGAAGATGAACGAGACACTATATTTTTTGATCTTTTATTTTTCATGATGGTAGAGAGTTTCTAATGAAAAAACAATAACCCTTGATTGATTTGCATGAGTTAACATAAGTCACTCAATCTGCATCGTTAAAGTCAATTAAATGTATATGAGTGTCCCTCTTTAATTGTAGACCTTTGCTTCAGGTATTTTAAGACTCTCCTTGCAACACCTAGATCAAACTTTGTAAGATGAACCATAAATTGACTGATTTGTTGGGTTGCAAAAACAAAGTCAGAACGAGTTGTGGTAAGGTAAATTAGATAATCAACAAGATGTCTATAGGATAAAGATCATCGAGAAGATTACTAGAATCATCTTATCGCAACCATAATGAGTTGTCTATAAGTGTAGAACAAGGTTTATAACCCAACATTCCAGAATTCGTACGTAATTCAAGATTATATTTATGTTGTGATACATATATATCATCAACAAAGTGAGTTATTTATAGACCTAGAAAGTATTTCAATATTCCTAAATCCTTAATTCAAAAGTTCGGATGAAGAACATGTTTGATTTAGGTCATTTCATCAGTAGAGTTCTCAGTTAAAATAATGTCATCCACATATATTAACAAAACTATAAATTGATCTTCATTATGTTTAATAAATAAATTATGATATGCATGTGATTATTTGTAAACAAATGAAATAAGTATATTAGAAAGCTTTTCATACCATTTATGGCTAGCTTGTTTAAGGCCATATAGATATTTTTTTGATTTTGTGACTCTGGGAAGAGCCATGGCCTCGCAATCCTTGAGGATTTGACATATAAACCTCTCCAGACAAGTCACTGTGGAGGAAAGCATTACTTATGTCGAGTTATTGAAGTTGTCATTTATTTGCAAAAGTAAAAGCGACGATGACACGAATAATGGTCATTTTTACTACACGAGAGAATGTTTCAAAGAAATCAATTCCTTCCACTTGAGAAAAACCCTTTGTAACTATTCACGCTTTATATCATTCAACACTTCCATCTAATTTTCTCTTAATTTTGTAGATTCATTTTTATCCTATGGGTTTAACATTGGCTGAAGTATCAATAATTTCCAAGCTGTTGTTGAGCTTTAAAGCTTCAAGTTCATCTTTTATGGCTTCAATCCAATAGGGACTCAACCTTTTCTTGATAACTTCGAGGTTCAACCTTAGAGGATAAATTCATTAGATAGTGACACTCAAACTTAGAGATGTTATAATAATACAAAACAGACTGGAGAGGATACAAACATGTTGATGATAATTGATTTTGGCTTTGTCTCGATGCTCCAAATATATGCAAGGGGAACATTAGGTTTGATGGGTAAAGAAAAACATCATGAGACAAAGGGAGTAGGTGTAAGTTATGGTGCGAAGGAGTGTCAAGGGTGGAAGAAGGGAATTAGGTATCATAGATCGATGAGAACTTGATTGTGGAGATATCGAGAGAAGCTCCGATGGTGATGGTAAATGTTGATGTGGAGACATCGAGGAAAGTTTTGATGGTGATGACAAATCTAGATGTTGAGGTATCAAGGGAAGCTTTGGTGGTGATGGTAAATGTCGATGTGGAGACATCAAGGGAATCATCAACAGTGATGGTAAATCTGGATGTGGAGGTATCGAGGGAAGCTTCGATGGTGATGGTAAATGTTGATATGGAGATATCTAGGGAAGCTTTGATGATGATGGTAAATTTGGTTGGGGAGATATCAAGGGAGACTTTAATCGTGATGGTAAATGTTGATGTGGAGATATCAAGAGAAGTTTCGATGGCTATGAAAGTATTGGAAACTTTGATGGTGATGGTAAATGTCGATGTAGAGATATCGAGGGAAGTGTCAATTGTGATGGTAAATCTAGATTGACTATTTGTATTGGACTTTTCTCATGATGGGTTTGGGCATTAGTTGACATTTCTTGTTGGGTTTCCTTGGGGACTTGATTATTTTGAATAAAAAGGAAATATTAATTCATAAAATATGATATTTCTTTGAGACAAAAATTTCTCTCGATTGGAAATTGAAAATGATGTACCCTTTTGTTCCAATTTGAAATCTAAGAAAAATACCTTACTTAGATCTAGGATCAAATTTTTTATGAGGTTCATTAGTTGAAGAATAACATAAAGACCCAAATATTTTAAGCATTGAAAAATTTAGTTTATGATTATGAAAAAGCTCATAAGATTTTTGTTTATTAATCACTAGAGAAGATATTATGTTAATAAGGAATACTAAATGATTTATGATAAGACCTTAAATATTCAAGTAATTCAGATTGAAATATAAGGGTACATACAACGTTAAGAATGTATTGATGTTTTTTTTTTTACACACGCCATTTTGTTGAGGGGTGTAAACATAACTAGTGTATTAAATGATGCCCTTTCTGGCAAATAAATCTTTTAGAAAAAATCCGAGTTCATTATTTGAATGAATGTACTTTATCTTGGAATCAAATTGATTTTCTATTAAAACAATAAAGTTTTAGACATACATTTTTATTTTAGACTTTGACTTTAATAACACTACTCAAATATATCTACTAAAGTTATCGACAATAGTTAAAAAATATTTTACTTCATGAATGGAAGCTTTGGAAAAAAGACCCCAAATGTCCATATAGACAAGATAACAAATCTTCAAAGTTCTACTAATACTAAGTTTGTAAGGTAATTTTTTTTTAGCAAAATGAAAAATGTCATTATTCTCATTAACATGGAATAAAAGGAAATTGTTCAGGTAACATTTAAACGGTTTCTTGAAAGGTGTCTTAGTCTAAAATGCCAAAGATTAAAAGAAGAGATGGTGTGGACATTGTTATTATTGATGGAGATTTTATTTTGTTAAGGGACCTTAGCTTCTTTGTTGATGTTTAAATGGTAAAGACCTTGTTCTACATTAGTCAAACCAATCATATGCAATAAATGCTTATCTTATATAATATAATAGAAATCACCAAAGAAATTATCAGAAACAAAGAGGACATGGTGAAAAATGATATTTGGAGAAAGAAATTGGTTCTAGAAATATAAGTAGTAACAATGGATTTATTTGGTAAGCTAATTTGAATAGGATTTATTTTATAATAACTTGAAAAGCATTTTAAAGAGGAAACAATGTCATATCTGGCTCCTGAATCTATGATCCAAGACATACTTTATTTACGAGTGGTGGAAGAAGTATTGTGTGTAGTGTTGCAAAAATAAATAATATAACATTATAGTTAGAACCATTTATTTGATTGTAAGGGACTTGAGTGAGATTGACGCTTTTGGGCTGGACAAGGTTGTTCCCCGTAGTATCAGAAGCAGTGTTGAACTGTTGAATCAAGGCCATTAATGTTTGGTATTGAGCTTGGTCAAAGTAATAGGGCTTGAAGAAGCAATTGGTCCCTTTACTAGGTCAAAGTAATATGATTCACTGTTATTGAATCGAGGGCGACCAAGGTAGTCAGTGTAACCCCCTTACAAATTACATTTATTAATCCTAATTTATTATCTAAGTTAGTAATATTTTCAATATTCATAGAAGGTTAATAGAAAATATACCAAGTGAACAATTAATTTAGGTAAAATTTTATATTAAATCAAGTAACAAGTTCTAGTACAAAGTTTTCAAAATATTACAAGTCATAAAGTTACACTTATATGTTATACAATTCCCAACCTAAACTCTAGATTTTTGCATCTGACATCTATCTCTTGAACTATATATTCATGCATCACACATCACCAACATCTGGGATTGAAATTGAAATATTTATGGGGTTAGACATTTAATTTTATCCACAGCAAATAAAGCAAACATTCATACGATAAAATCAACCAATGAAACATTCTTTCTAATAAGTTCATAATTGCATATAAATATACAACCATATATAATTTAATTTGAAAATTAATTATGAGAAACAAATAAATCAATCATGGAATCATAATAGAGAATATCATACAAATCATGAATAATCTACAATTTCATCATGCAATATGTTTATGATATGCACATATGACTCAAAACGTAAAACTTTAAAATCATACTTTTGACTCAAAATCTAAAAAAATTATTTTTGACTCAGTGCTCCATGGAGACTCATATGAGTGTCTAGTGGAACCAGAGCTTAACATCACCTTGTCCAGTGATTCGACAATGCCCCACTAAACGCGAACAAGTAGACAGTAGTTGGAGTGTCAGTGCACCCGGCAGGCTACCATGACACATAATCAAATAAAGACTGACCACTTATGAAATTTCCCATGCCCAAACACTCCCTAGACCAGAGATCCATCCCCATAGACCAGAGGTCTTGTCTTACCTATTCTACTCCCCCATTTACTATCAGAGATTCTGGTAGCTCGATTCTCAATAATTCATTCTCATACATTCTCTGTCTCATTTGACCGGCCATTTTCATAGTCATATTCCACTACCAGATGCTCTTGATAGTAAATTGACTCATAAAAATATTTTCAAAATTCTGTTTTGCACATCATTATTACTATCAATCGTCCTTGGTAGCAACTTAAGAGAAATTTCCAAATACTTTTTTATAAAAACTTTTCTGTGACTTCCAGAAACATTTCATGCACTATGTTTATGTCTTGTATGAAATAAAACAATCTATCATCAATTAAGTACTTAGAAACATTTCCTTCATATATTCAAAATTTCAATTACAATTCATAGTTGTTTTAAACAAGACAATTTCTATTAATAATTTATTTCGTAGGGTTCAGTGTTTTGTCCATATCTTGAGTTCTAGACCTCCTTTTAAGATGATTCCAATTGTGTTGGAAAGATAAACCAATAACCTATAACTTTGATGAAGGAACTATCCTCAAATTCTAACGTTTACTAAGTCGTTTTCCTAGTAAACAAAGAGGTGGTAATATACTATTTGACTTTATCTCGATTATACCCTTAACCTTTTTCAAAATTCCATTTATGTCCTTAGGTTATAAAATGACCATTTTGCCCTTGAACATTTCCTATAATTCCATCCATGTCCATAAGATTACTATTTTACCCTTGGACATTTTCTATAATTCCATCCATATCCCTAAAATGACTATTTTACCCTTGAACATTTCTATAATTCCATCCATATCCCTAAAATGACTATTTTACCCTAAGACATTTTCTATAATTCTATTCATGTCATAAAGCCATGATGAAATAACCTTTATACCCTTAATCTTTTTCAAAATTCCATTTATATCCCTAAGATATGAAATGACTATTTTACCCTTGATCTTTTTTAAAATTCCATTTATGTCCCTAAGATGTGAAATGACTATTTTACCCTTGATCTTTTTCAAAATTCCATTTATGTCCCTAATATGTGAAATGAATATTTTACCCTTGATCTTTTTCAAAAATTTAATTTATGTCCCTAATATGTGAAATGACTATTTTACCCTTGATCTTTTTCAAAAATTCCCACCTAGTCCTTTCTTCTTCCTTCGCTCCCTGTAAGCCATTTTCAAAATTCAGATTTTCCAATTTCTCAGTTTAAAGCACCCAAATTAGTTCTAAATCAAAATAAAACTTGTAATAGGTCCAAATTAAGTCAAAAACAACAATTTTACTATATAATTCATCCTTAATTTCAAGAATTTCATCAATATTTAAAACATTGCAAAATATGAATAGTAATCACCTCCAAGTACGCCATTTTCAAAATCTAGATTTCAAATTTCTCAGCTTCAATCACCCAAATTAGTTACAAATCAAAATTAAACCATAAACATGTTCAATTTAAGTTAAAAACAATAATTTTATTATATAATTCATCCTTAATTTGAAGAATTTCAACAAACATTTCAAACTTTCAATCATTGAATCAACCATCAAATTCGAGACATTTTGATAAAATTAAATATCTACCCCATACCCGATTTCTCCAAATTTTTTTACTCCTCTTTCCTCCTTTTTCTCGAATTCTTCTTCTCAGAATTATGGTGCCTCTCTGTTAGTTCTTCAAGTTGCGGGAATTGTGTTTTTGTGTAAGTAAGTTTCAAATTTCCTCCTATTTATACACTTATCTTATCGACTTATACTCCTTCTCGAATTTTCTTTAATTTTATTCTCCACCGCCTTATTTCACCGACTCAATTCAAAGGTTCCACCGACTTGATCCAAAATTACGGTTCGTGACTTCTATTTCTCTCTTTTCGTGTTTTTTTTTTAATTTTTAATTTTTAATTTTATTATTATTATTATTATTTTTAATATTGTTAATTTCTTCTCATAAAAAGTTTACATAATAAATAAGTTCATTATTAATAATTTTTACTTATAGTATTAAATTCCTAAATATTTATTTATTCATTTATTTAATTTTATTATTAAAAATTATTAAAAATTATTATTTGACACAATATTAACCTTGGATTTTATTTTATAATTTTCTTAAGATAAAATTACTATAAACAAAAATCATGTTTTATTTTTATAATAACTCTACATAATATTCAATACATATGTATAACGTACAAAATTTATTTATATAATTAGTTGCAAAATTTAGTATGTTACCGTCAAGATGACCTGGTATACAACCATGCTTCCTCACCATACGTCGATAGTGTGTTCGGTGTAGTGATAATAATAATACTTTTTGTCGGAAGCATTTTTGTGAGTGGATAATGAACCAAATGCATCATGACCTTTAACAAAGGCATTCAAAGAGTTAACGAAGCTATTGGGTTTAGTAGAAGAAGGAGGAACAACATTGAACTAACGTTCATGTTGAAAAACTATAGAAAAAACTCGATTGATCGCCAGAAAGAGATCCATAAGCAAGATTTGGCAACACACAATAGAAAAAACGTTCATTCAAGCCCGTCAAGAATCTAATGACAAAATCCAATGGTATTTCTTGGTCTCACAATAACAGTTAACAAAGGGACAATAATGATCTATTTCCTCCCAAAGGATTTTCAAGGCAGTATAAAATTAAGAGATATGACAGTTACCTTGAGAAAACCCATATATTTCTTCCTGGAACTTTGCAATGCGAAAAAGATCTCATTGTGAAAAACGTTCACGTCGTTCCAAATGTCAACATATTCAAGGAAAATGAGGCTTTGGGCAATGAAGAGGGAAAACGAATTAAAAATCTAGGACATCACGAGAGTGTTGCATCTTTTCCATGTAAAGTAAAAATGTTCTTTGACAGAAGGGATCATATTGTACTAAGGAAGAAGGGCATTTTGTTTTTGGAGAGGGCCATATGGAAAGTACGAGACCAAGATTAATAGTGTTTTCTATAAAAGACAAGAGTAAAAGATACGTACGAAGGACCATCACTAGGATGGATGAAATAAAGATTTAAAAGGTTGAACAATTGGTCAATAGAATCAAAACTAGAAGAATCATTTTTCTTTATACCGGAGGGAGGTGTTCAAGTCCATGGAGGACAATAGATAGAACTTTATACCATAAAACGAATAAAGACTAAGGTAACAATTTGAGAATGAAATTCATACCTTAATTTCAACAAAAAATATATAATATTATATACACATTTTTACCTAACTAATTACTACTTATTTTATTTTAAAATCTACTCCAAGATTGTAATAGAAAAATATTTACATAAAAAAATATTTACAAGAACTAAAATGGACTGAGGATTATTGGATTATACTGGTATAGACTATTATTCTATTATATATATATATATATATATATATATATATATATATATTACTTTTTAAAATATAATAAAGACCTATTAACACAATAAAGAAAAATTATATTTTTCTATAAAAGAAATTAAAATGACGTTTAAAGAGACCATTATATATTTATTATATTTATCAGAATACTTTAAATGTCCGTTAAAACAGAAGTACAGTTTGGCCTTTTTTTTCATGAGTAAATTAAAGTAAAAAACATGCAATAAATTAAAACAAAAGTACACTGTATTTGTCAAAATACAATAAATGTTTTGTTATGAATAATTCGAAGGACTTAAACACTGTAATTAAAGAGAGTGATAGGAATTTATTATAGTTGTCAAAGATAATAAATATCTATTAAAAAAACGTTTATATTATTTTTATGAATAAATTAAATTGACAAAAATGCAGTTATATATATAACAATATATAAAAATGATTTCTTTTGTAACAGTTTTTTTAGTGTCATGAGAAAAACAAAAGTCTTATAATTTAAAAAAAATAGTTATTATGATTTATATATTAAAAAAATAATAAACATATGAAAAAAATAGATATATTTAAAAAATAAAAAGAGAAATAAAATAAATTTTTAATAGAAATTCCACTAATATATTATAAATGACTAAAATAGAAAGTGTTTTTTTAAAATAATATGCTCTATATTTTTTTAAAAGTTGAAAAAATGGATAAGATTTTTTTAAAGATGAAAATGGTGAAATAACTTGTGTAAACGCAATGGCTTGGTGCAGAGAAAACTACAATTTTATTTTCTCTCACAAATATTTATATATAAAAAAAATAGTCCAAACATTTCTTATTAAAGTAGCCCTTTCTTTCTTTTTGGGTTATTACTATGAAGAAATTCACTTATATTTGTTTCTTAAAAAAATTCTCCCATAATATTTAAAATTGAGTAATTATATCTTTCAAGATAAACAGTTTTAATCACGATATCTCTTCATAGTATCAAGTGCTGCTCTTTGTATGTATAATAACAACAAAAGTTTATAAAGTGGCCGTTTGAGTTTTCTTAAAGCGTTTATGGTTTCATTAAATTCATTCTGGGTAAATTATTTTAACATTTTAGTATTTTGAGGGAAAATAAATCTCCACCTTAAACATTTCATTGAACTGGTAACTGGAATGACATAAAAATATTAAAAAAAGACATCTTTTTCTCTTCCAATCTTTTTCTTTTTTTACATTATTGGCATTAAGAAAAAAGGAATTACAAAAACTTAATGAAAAGATCTGTATATAGTACTTTGTCATATCATATAATAATTAAATATGTATATATATATATATATATATATATATATATATTATCATAATAAATTTCACTAGGATGCCCTATCATATAAGTTGTACCTTGAAATTTTTACTTATTACTCACTACCCAGACATATAAATACACACACTATCTCCAAACTTCAAAGTCCAAGTAGATAAGCACAACTAAGTTCTTATAGCACTTGGTGAGTGGGTCTCAGCAGAATTTGTTCACTGTCCACAGAAAAAGAAAAGACATGGTAGGCCAGTATTGTGATCCAGGAACTTCAAAGTGATTGTGTGGAATTGAGCCTTCTTTTGCGCAACCTTTCTGCAATATTGAATGCAAGCTCCAGAGACTGAGAGGCATTAAGCCTTGGATCACAATGAGTGTGGTAGCGAGAGCTCAAGTCATCATAAGTAATAGTCCTTGAGCCTCCAACACATTCTGTCACGTTCTGTCCAGTCATCTCTAAATGAACTCCTCCTGGGTAGCTCCCTTCTTGGTCATGCACATCAAAGAATGCCCTCAACTCAGCCTATCATCAACAATAGCAACATCCAGGAACACATTCATTTATAATCAGTAGCAATAAACCTTGAACTATATACACAACAAAATAAACGATTGACACTGATAGAGAGCCACGTATTAAAAAACTGAATTGCATGTATGGTCTAGGAAAGTTTTACAGACAACTTGAACTTTAAACACTACAGTATAGGATTAAAAAACAATGACCAAGTAAAGACCATATTTTTTGTCACTTCCGTATTGCCCAAATATTGAATATAAAACAGAAATGTTAATGTTGGAAAAAGGAATCAAGTACTGTATAAGTCAAATTAAATTACCCTTATTGCATCAAAAGAGCGGGTTTTAAGTCCTGATGGAGCTTTAATGGTGTTGCCATGCATGGGGTCGCTGACCCAAGTGACAATTTGGCCTGCTCTGCGAACTGCCCTGATAAGATGAGGAAGCTTCACTCGCATGTTCTCAGCTCCCATTCTAACAATTACTGTAATTCTGCCAGGCTTGTTTTTAGGGTTGAGAATGTCTATCAGCCTAACAAGTTCATCTGGAACCATCTTATCACTCACCTGAAAACCAAGTACCCTTTCAGTAACTCAATTTTTTTTTGCAGCTGCACACTAAGTATTGCAACAAGCTCTAGGCCCCTTCAGACAGGATTGTAGTTCAAGTTTTGACGCAGCATATCAAAATATAATTATAACAAATTAATTGAGACAAGCTTATGTAGGGCATAATTTTGACTATCAAATGCATAAATATATAAGATAAAGCAAATGAAAGACCATAGACAAACAGCATTATATAAGCACCACCTTTATGCCAAGTGGATTAGCAACTCCTCTCAAGAACTCAACATGAGCACCATCAAGTTGGCGGGTACGTTCCCCAACCCACAGCATGTGAGCTGAGCAATCATAATGAAGCCCCGAAGTAGAATCCTCCCTAGTAAGTGCTTGCTCATAAGGGAGAAGCAAACACTCATGGGAGGTCCAAAAGTCTGTTGTACTCATGATTGGGTGATCAGATGTGAGCCCAGCAACATTCATGAACCCAAGAGCTTCATCCACTCTATGAGCCAATTCACGGTACCTGTTTGCCCACACACACACAAAAAAAAATTTATGTCAAAGTCGAGGAATTCATCACTCTTCTACCAGCAATATGGAAAGAGTCAGTTCAATTTTTAAACACATTCATCCAAAAAATTTTAAATTAAGAAGAATAAGAAATTTATAGAAGGTTATAGATGATACCTGTCTCCCTGTTCACTATGCTCCATGAAATCAAGATTCCATTGGTTAACCCTTTGCATGGCAGCGTAACCTCCTGTGGCAAACGCCCGCAAGAGGTTCAGAGTAGCCACAGATTGGCAGTAAGCTCTTACCATCCTCTGTGGATCGGGGATTCTGGATGCTGCATCGAATGCATCGCCATTCACATTGTCACCCCTGTAACTAGGAAGCTTCACTCCATTCTTCTCCTCAAATGGATCTGATCTTGGCTTTGCAAATTGACCGGCCATTCTCCCCACCTGAATCATCATATCCAATAATCGAACCGTGTCATCCTCATTCATCATAAAATTTTAAATCAGGACAATGTAATATCTAATCATTGCTCAATGGAGGAATTTGATCATGAGGTATGTTTGGATACAAGCCACAAAAGTTTATCTATTAGAAATATATAGTTTTTTCTTTCAGCAGAAAGCCTCTTCTAGCTTTGTATCTAGAAAGACAAAATCCTCTTCCTCCAAGCTGGTAACTCGCTTTAAATTAAGAATTTTCTTAACCCCAGCACAACACAACATTCTCTTTCAGAATTTGGGTTTGAAACTAATTCATTCTCAAGAAAGTGAGGATTACCTGTTAACCCCCACTAGTATACGCAATCTATTTTGATCAATCGTGATTTCTAACACACTTCTTACACCAATGACTAAATGTCTTGAATGTAAAATTTATAAGACTAGACATGATGCGGGTGATCTGATAACTATATATCAACAATTATTAAAACAAACTCTACTACCATTTTACAATTTGAGTTTTTATCTAACTCAATTCAGAAAAATGTTGGCTCGTCCATCGAATAATGCCCCGACTTCTACATTTTCTTTTCTAAAACAGGGTTCATTCCTTCGCTAACTCAAACACCACTTGAAACATCAAAATTCTATCCGAGAGAGAAATTAACAATTCACAATAAAAAACTGAATGCCCCCCTTAAAAGAAAAAGAAGTAAATCAGATGATACAGTGAAACAATGGTGAAAAGATTGACCTTTATAACAGGCATTTGGCCACCGAACATGAGGACGACACCCATTTGAAGGATGACACGGAAGGTGTCACGGATGTTGTTGGCATTGAATTCCTTGAAGCTCTCAGCGCAATCCCCGCCCTGAAGGAGAAAAGCGTTCCCCATCGCAGCCTGACCCAGTTTCTCCTCCAGATTCCTGGCCTCGCCGGCGAACACAATAGGGGGAAAACTCGAAAGGGTTTGGAGAACTTGATCCACTTCATTCGCATCAGGGTACTCCGGAAGCTGAAGCGCCTTCTTCGTCTTCCAACTATCAATGCTCCAACTTGTCGCTATTGGAGACGCCGTTGGCTTGGCACAATTCCGCACCACGACGGATCTTCGAGGAGGCCCGAAAACGCAAGGTTTGACCTTGAACGTGATTAGGGATGATGATGACGAAATCAGAGCCATTCTCCGTTTTATTCTTCTCTAGAAAAGCTACAACAATTTGATTGATAGATAGATATGTGATGATGATTCTGACACAACCTATCATACGATGATGTACTACATAGTATAGTCTATATATTCTCCCTTTTATTCTTAAAAAGGAACAAAAAAATAATAAAAAAACCATCTTCGCTGTTTTGTTTAGCGTACCATCACTCTATCTTAGAAAGAATCTGTCATGGAAACAGAAAGAGGTTTGACATTTTTTTTTATGTACCACTCTCGTTTTAAATAAATAAAGAAAATTACGTTTATATTAAAAAACTAAATATACTTAAATTTTAATTAGAACATATTATTAATTCTAAAATTTTATAACAACTATTTTAAAAAAGTATATCTAAGATAATTTATTTTGATGCATATTATATTAAATTAGTGAAAATATAAACGTTCTAGAGAGTGTTTAGGTATTTATATTTTTTAATATTATTAATTTTATTTTATTTTGAAATTATTTTATATTATTTTTTTAGTTTATATATATATATATATATTTTTTTTTTTAAATTATAATATTATAAGAACTATTTTTATTATATTATTTTTTTCTTTTTTGCGGTTATAAGAAAATAATGACGTTATACATTTGATAACAAATAATAGTGTTTTATAAAAATAAGATAAAAACAGTTAAAAAAATAAATATTTTTATATGAAAATATGTATCCACTTTTTTATTATAAATTTTTAATTTTTTTCTCTCTATTTTTCAGATGTAACTCACCCACATTCTTTTTTCATTCTCATAATTCGTATCACATTTTTTTTCTCTCATCTTTCTAATATTTTTTAAATTTATAAATTGTAATAACTATTATTTTTATATTATATCCTTTTTATACATAAAAAACATATTTGATAATATATGGTACAAAATAGTTAAAAAAAAACCAATTTAACTTCAGAGAGGTTACAAAGTTAGGTATATATTAGTGTTCAAATTGGTATAATTAAGTTATTAATTCTCCGTTAAAAATAATGAGAATCAATTTAATAAATATTACATTTTAAAAAATTATTCAAATAAAATTTTTGTCAATTTATTCATTTGATTAGATCTACTTGTTATTCATCCATTATGAAAAATAAATTCTTTTGACCCAAAACAATTGTTTTTTTTTTCTTTCCTCACTCATTTTCTTACTTTTATCTTTTCTTATTTATTTCTCATTTTTTTTTCTCTTATCATCTACTCACTGTGTTGGTAATTTGAAATTTGGCATGGAGGACCATTAATGAAGCATATTTAAGTTTTTTTTAATCCCTAGAATCATATGAAATTTCACATTTAATATGAAAAACTATAAAAGCGGGATTATATATCATTTGTGGAAAGATAGATACTTTAGAGTTTGCCTTCATATTTTATGTATTATTAGTTTTTTTTTTAAATTATTTTTTCTTTCTTTATGTTCTTCAAAAACATTCCATTTTTTTTGACTTATTTTAAATTTGTAATTTTTGTAACGTCTTTAAAGATTAAACGTGAATTTTTGAAATTAATTTCATAAATAATATAGTAAAAAAAATCTGAAACAGAATAATTATTAATTTAGTTATCCAACTACCGCATATAATTTTTTATGGAGGTTTTTTTTTCTTCTTAAAAAGTTAAAAAAAATTTCTCTCTCCCCATTTATTTTTAGTTTTTATCTTTTGTTTTTTTTTCTCTTTTCATTTAATTTTTCTACTTAAAAATATTATATTGAAATTTAATAAAAACATGTCAAAATAATTTTTTTAAGATCAACATTAAAACTAAAAATATCAATTAATTGTTTAAAATTATGATGACACTAAATAAATTATTTTGATCATATTTTATTTTTAAAACGTAATAAAAAGTTAATTGTGTGGATAATATTTGTTGATATTATAATCATTATAAAAGATAATAAGAAAGGAATTTAAAATGAAAAGCTTGATATTAAAGTGAATATATATATATATATATAAGCATATACTAGACTTGCTTTTAGAAATATATTGTAAGCCAACTAACATTCATACTCTTCAAAACTAACCCATTGCAAGAGAGAGAATGGTAATTGGTAAAATGATTTATTTATCACACACAATTACATATAATGTATGTAATAAGTGTGATAAGTCAATCTATTCATTGTCCAAATGAAGACCACATAAATGCAACAATTCAAATAATTCAATATCTAAAATCAACTTTGAGAAAGAGAATCATTAGGATATATAGGATATTACATTGATGCAGACTAAGCTAGAATAGAAGTAAAACTAAGAATTTTGAGCTTGTTGGAGTTGCTTATTGAAACTGACATTTCACCCACCTCTACAATGAATTTATTTTGTAAAAAATAAAGGAACAATTTATATTACTTAAAATCCAGTTTAACATGATTGTACAAGTAATGTTGAAGTAGATCGTTACTTCTTTAAAAAAAATCTTGAGACGAAATTAGTGTAGTTTCCATTTGTCAAATCTGAAGACCAATTGAAAGATATAATTACAAAAACTAATTTTTGAAAATAAAATCTATATTACTCAAAACCCATTTTAACATAATCTCTTATAAGTACATGTTAAAATAGACGGTCAATTCATTAAAGAAAAACTTGAGGAGAAGGAAGTGCAATTTTCATTAGTCAAATGTAGAGCCAATTGATAAATATACTTAAAACAGTTATAGTTGGCACAGATTTTCACGACTTACTCAATATGTTGTTGGACATGAACTTGAGAGGAAGTATTAACTTGAGTTCGATCAAGAGATTACACGGATCTTATTTTTCCTCTAGACATATGATTGCAGGTTATGTGGGATTGTTTCATAATATATGGAAGATTAGGTGGAATTGTTTTATAATGTGAGATTGTTTCATAAAATATGATACTGTCTTAGTTTCCCAAAATAGGTGATTAAGTAAGCTATATGTATGACACTTTGTACACAGAAAGATATATATTATTCTATACTGTTTAACAGGAATAATACACAGCTAAGAGGTTCATAAAGAAGTGAGCGAGGGATATTTCGAAGGGGCAAGACTGACAAAAATAGATAAAACCCAAAACTCATGTATTAACTTGCGAAGGATACTTTACAAGAACTTAATTCAATAAAGCAAAGCAGGTGCAAACACCACAACTTTACAAGTTTGCTGATAAGTCAATGCTTAATCCTCACAGAACCGGTTGGATTTTCCCTCCCTCATGTCAAATGGCCAAAACTCCAACCATGATACTACATGGGGGGAGAAGGGCGACATTCAGTCCATCCTACCAGAGTTGGACAGTTAATAATAGGGGCTGTAGCGCATTGCCATTCTGAACCTTGGAACCTTTCTGCAATTCACAGACAGATGCTATTAATTTGCCTGTTACAGGATAAAAAGATTTGAAAGGGATAATAGATTATAATGTACCCATATCCATATGGAGAATAGATAAAGGGAGGTGCATATGGGGTTCTGCCTCGAAAGCCCCCCATGTAAAGATTTGAACGGCGGGGACGATACTGTTTCATCCCTGGTATGTTGGTTCTTTTAGCTGTTACCTGACAATTGCTCAAATAAGCAGAGATGATTAGAAAAGCGAAGCAGTCTATTATTCAACAACAATAGCCAAGCTCTCTAACCTTTAATTGACGCCCATGAAGTTCAGATTCATTCAGCGAAAGGGCCTCCTGGACAGCTTCCACCTCAAGGAACTCAACATAGGCATAACCCTTGGGTTGGCCAAACTTGTCAGTTCGAATGGTGACTCTGTTTACTGTTCCACAAGACTGAAAATGCTGTTGCACTTCTTCAGGAGTGCAAGAATAGTCCACCTGTGGAGAATATCTAAACCATGAGACATTATAGTGCAAAGTGACAAGTAAAGACAAAACGTTCACCACATGACATGTTTTCAAGTATCTGTTAACACCGATTGAAGTAATAGATGAAAGTTACCTGTTTCTAGTTTACTAGCACAACCAGATATAATTAGTGTCACTAAATACCAATGCAACATTTAATGAAAGAAATACATGTTTGAAAATTCAACAAGCCTCGTCAACAAAACCATCTGAAATAGATTCAATAAAATTTACATTCAATAGAACGGTTCTGTGACAGCTATCAAATCACTAACTCAGGACCAAAATCATAAAGATCAACCTTCTTTGGCAGAATAAGCTCTGTTTATTTCTATGTTCGCAACCTCCTCAGGCTAAAAGCAAATTACTTTTTGCTTTTATGAAACTGTTACACGTCACAAATAGCATGTGATGTGAACATGACCTATGATAAGGGCTAGAGCAAGGGAAGTAAATGAAGCTTTTCAACAAGTATTGTTGGTTGACCAAATTGTGTTTTGGATTAATCAATTAATGAACTTTAATTTGATTTTGTTTTAAGTTGTAATAAGGGCCCAATTGGAAATTTAGTTATCAGTCTTTTGGGAGACCAAGAGGGTGCATAGCTGATTGACTTTTGGATGCCAAAATTTCAGTTACAATCAATCATTAAATAGTTTTCAATTCCTAGGTTAATAAATCATTATTAGCATTTATTTTCCTTTAATGAATATTTGTAACTCTGATGGCAAAACTTCTTTATAAGCTGAACCATTTTTATCAGAAATAACAAGTTAATTTTTATTTTTGGAAATATTAGAGTTTATCTCTTTTATCTTAGTAAGAGTGATTCTCCTAAATTCTTGAGTGATTCAAGAACTTTTGGCTGTATCAAAGGACTTTCACATCCTTTGTGTATTGCCTTCCTTGGGAAGAGTGATTATTTCTTTCCACCTTCTTTCTAATTCCTAAATTTCTTACAAGGTTCTAACTTTAAATATCCTAAATCACCCTTTGTGATTCATATCACCATGATATATCCTGCAAACTCGGTCTCATGCAGTAAACAGGCACTACAAATATGCAAATGCAAATATAGGTTTTGCCAGCATTGTCATTACAATTAATAATGGAATTAATTTTGGGAGCAAGTCAGTTAATTTCAACCATATATGGAAAAATGGTTCACAAAAATACAGGCATACGGTAGATTTCAAGTTTTCCCCAAATAAATTGTTTTGCTTAGCCCTTTTAAGATTGAGAAAGAAAAAAGATCATCTCATAGCAGCCATGTGTTATATCTGAAACATGGTATGTTTTAGCAAGCTGGAAAGTTTCACGGGGTAAAAATATTTTGCTTGGTCCCTGTGGCAGCAAGATTCATCCTCTAAAATGCAAGGTAGGTTACAGAATAAGGTGTTAGCAGACAAATGGGAAAAAGAATACTAGGAAGTGGAATTTTGTAAATCCAGAAAATATTATTCAGTGGGTTCTTCAAACCATTGCTGCTGCTGCTGGTGGTGGTGGTGTGTAATTTGAAGCTCTGCTGCAATCTTGAGCAACTAGATGGCTGCTGGTATGTGCGGCATGGTGTGATTTGGAAGCCTCTGTTTCTGAGTGAATTATATATGGGCTGGTTGATGCACCTGCAACTATCCTCTGCTCCTATTATCAGCTAATTTGTGGTAATTTGTTAGTGCATATGCTAAGTTACATTGCTTTGCTGGTCCACGGGTGATGCCTTTGCATTCCCTGCTTCTTCCACTCAATTTCAGTTTTTCTTTTTAAAAATGTCATCAAGAAGTATCTTTTTTTTAAGAAGCTTGTAATAACCTAACAAACTCAAGTCTATTATGTATTTTGAATTACAAGATACTTAAATGCTATAGTGGGTGGAGTTTATTTAATATTGTTATCATTCCTTATTTGTTTTATATATCTTTTACATGTATAAAAAGCATATAATTTAATATTTCTACCCCTTGTTCAATCATAGAGAGAACCTAGGATTTTGAGAATCCCTACTCACTGAAGTGCACCACCTTCCTTCTTGATCACTGTTTCTTTTTTCCAATAGTCTAAAAAAATTCCTTAGATCTCAAAGTAGAAAAAGGGATTGACAACAGTCCCTTACCATGAGAAAATACTAAATATTACATGATAACACCACAGAAAGTTTCCTTTCAATTTTCGACCAAATGACAAATATGCATGCATAACATTCTATCCATAAATTATGTCCTCTTCTCACCAGTTGGAGTCCAGATTCTTGATCTCCAATCTATCCCATAATTGATTTCCTGTCAATCCATCGCAAAATCTTGGAACATATACTGATAAAAAAAGTCCTAGTTAAAGATTTTTCCTCTTCATCTTTGATGATGTCATATTCTATTTTTTTTTTTTTTTATTCTTTGTTTCTTTCCTTCCCACGTTCCATAAGAAAAATATGCACTTTCACAAAACCACCAAAATCACTTTCCTCAACAAATAATTGTTTAATAATCTTGTCATCCCCTCCATCTCTCAATGTTTCTTTGTGTTGTATATTTTGTTTTTCCACTCTTTTTTTTTTTTTTTAATTTCATACATTTCTAATATTTTTCTCCTCCAACTATATATTATAACATATACTTTCAACTGCAGCATTACAAAACCAGAAAACTTGAAGATGGAAGCGTGACCTGCGATTGTAGTCAAAACATGTCAAAGCAGGATGTCACTGCTTGGAAATATACTAAAATTTCAAAACAGTAGAAAGCACTTTAAATCATAAAAAATCTTTTGAAGGATAGAATATTATGAAGCCCAGCATATTTATTGTCCAATACACTTTGGCTCATAAATGAATCAGCACTACAGACCCTTAATCCACATCATGAACAAAGACAATGGTGAAAGACAATCAAGCACAATAACATGTTCTCATATAAACAGAGTAAGAGAGAGCTCACATTGCCTACAAAGACTGATCGAGCATCTATTTCCTCTCTATTAGACTGACTCGCAGAAGCAGTTGCAGGATCTAATTTTGGAGAAAAGTATTAATAACAGAGATTGAAGTCCAACAATAAATTGCATGCAGTAATATATGTTAGGAATTCAAAATGAAAAAAATGTCGTATGCAGAAGATCAAGGAAATAAACAATTAAACAGGAGGGGAAACAATAACAAAACTAAAATTTGTAACTCAAACATTAAAGAAAATATCTTCTGAATATTCAGACAGAAGTTAACAAAATTACCTTGAATCGGCATGGGCATATCAAACAGAGTTTTTAATAGCGTGCTACACTTAGCTTAAGACATATATGACTTTTTATAGTTAATTAGGAACGATCGTTAGCTTTTAGTAATTTTTAGCGCTTTTGAGAACTTATATGTATCTATAAAATATATTATGTAGACTATAGACTACATAAAAAAATTCGATATGGCGGTTATCCTATATCCGCCATCCTGTTGTAGAGTTTCTGGGGCAGGCCATTACATACCGCTATTCAGGATTTAAAACATTTAACTCAAATGGGTACAAGAATATATATAGTTAATGATTTATAACCAAAACAAGTTAGAATGCCTTTCCTATTACCACCAGCTAAGAACCTAAAACTAGTCTACTAATTAAAACATTTAAAATATTATCAGCGAAGAAGTTAAGACTCCTATCAATAATGTATAATCCTACACAAACAAAAGGGGAAAAAAGAACTAATTCAAATTTTGAATATATCCAATTCACTGCAACTCTACATTTTCTTTGTAAAAGGTAATTTTCCAAATTACCAATAAATGGTTTCAAATATACATCTTTTCGAGGGAGAAAAAAGAAAAAGGAAAAGAAAAAGGAGGCACCTTGCACGGATCCCATTTCCTTCTCGACCTTGGCCTGCATCTCTCGCAAAGCAGCAGCTTCATCTTCCATCTCCTTCAAGCGCTTCTTCATGTCATCCAATTCCTAAACCCAATTGATTTGACATTGACCAGCGAACAAATCAGGTTTTGAGATTGAACAGCGACAGCACCAAACAAGTTTGATTCAACGAAATTAGGCGAGTGCAGAGAATTGGAATGAAATTAAGAAAAGAGAGAGAGAAAGGGAAAACATTGGTACTTCATTGGTGTCGGCTGCGTGCATGTCGACGTCGTCGTTTTCCATGGCTCCGGGAAAGAGGAACGCCGGCACCTGACCTGATCGTTGTGAGTGAATATGTTTCCCTTTGGTTTGCTTCCCCCTCTCCCTTGAACCTGAGAGTGAGAGAAACTGAAGTGAGAGGGGGTTGGGTTAAACTTCTTGGGCCCTAAACAAGACAACCTTCTTATTTTATAAGAATAAATATCTTAAAAAAATAATATAAAATCAATCTTATTAATAATATATTAAAAAGTATTTAAATAATTTTTATAAAATTATTTATTCTTCAAACATAAAATTTAATAATAAAAGATAAACTGGTGACATAATACATTTTTTTTTCATTTATATTTTCTTATCTTTTTATTTTTATTTTGTTTTCTCTTATTTAATGTTTGATTTTTTTTGTCTTTTCTACCTTTTTTCTCTCGCTCCATCTTATTTTTTTTAATTAAAACTATTACATTAAAAATTGATAAAATAAATTTATTATTCTAAAAAATAAAAATATTTAAATTATTTAAAAATATTATAATTTAATATATTATATTAAAAAACTATATAATAAATCTAAAGTATTACAAATGTTATGTTATAATTATTAAAAAAATTAAATATTTATTTTAAATTAAATTTTTAATAATTAATTTTTAAAACTATTTGACTATTAAATATTTATTTTAAAATAGCTTTTAATAAATATTTTCTAAATTATCTAATGTGATTAATTGTACTTTCTCAATTTAACTCCACTAAATTACTAAATAAAAAATATATTTAATTTATTAATATTTAATATTTTTTAATTAAATAAATAATTTATTTATTATAGTAAAATAATTTAAAATTAATTATTTGTCATCATAAAAAATTATTTTTTTATCATAATTTTAAATAATTAGTTGATATCTTTTTAGTTTTAATGTTGATTTTAAAAAATTATTTTAAAATATTTTTATTAAATTTCAATAAAGTAATTTTAATTAAAATAATAAATGAGAAAGAGAAAATGAAAATAATAAATATGAAATAAAAAAGAGAAAGATAATAAATAAATGATGAAAACTATATACAAAATTATGAAAAGAAAGAAAAAAGTTATATATAAATAATAAATAGATTGATAAATATTTTATTTAAATAATTTTAATTTTAATATATATTATTGATACATTGATTAAATGAATATGAATATTTTATAAAAAATAAATAAATACTTTAAACATTATAATGTCACATTTCTTTATTGATTAACAATAAAATAAAATAATTTGTATTGTAAATAAACTATAATTTTAAATAAAAAAGTACCAATTGTGCTTATTTTTCGTATAATAGTGAGTTAGATTTTGTAATAATTTTCTAACAAATATTTAAAAAAAATTCTAATTAATGATACAATATATGAAAAATTATTCCGAAAGTATTTTAAATTTTTGTAGTTTATATATGGGAGTGCATGTTAATTTTTAGTCTTTATATTTTAAAGTTTGTTTTGTACGTCACAATTTTTTCAATTGAATAGTTTCTTCTTCTCTTAACTGTTTCAATTTAAAAAGTGATACTAAAATATTTAGTTGTTACTACAAAAAACAATATAATAAGATTAAAATGGTATGTTTTAATTCAGTAAAATTTTTACTTCATATCCTTTAATCCTCGATTTGAAACCTATCTGAAACATAAAATTTGACAATCAAATTCTTAGAAAAAACCATGGAATCAATCCAAGGTATGTTGGGACTAAAAAGGTGATTGGCATTGCAATAATAACGTGAAAAGTGGGTCCCGCACAAGAATGAGAAAACTGAAAATATGTAATTTAGGTTAATTAATAGTTTACTTGTTTATGAAACTTCAATTTCAAAGAACCCTAGGTTGGTCAGTGATTGGCACCGAGGCAACTGGCAATTTGTTATATCTTGAGATTTTTTGTTGATAAAAAGCGATTGATAGATTAGAGGCGTTAATTGGAATGGCGAAGGCGTCGTCAGAGTCACGCGGTTGCCGGAGAGTGTTGGAGTTTTACAGTGGAATCGGCGGCATGGTATGCACTTCATCTATGAAAGCAAGTCTTTTTGCTTCAATTTCACATGCTAATGGTCTTGTGTTTGTTTAGAGGTACTCGCTGATGAAGGCCCAGGTGAATGCTCAAGTGGTGGAAGCATTTGAAATTAATGACACAGCGAACGACGTTTACCAACATAATTTTGGTCATCGTCCTTATCAGGTTAGCTTTGTTGCTTTTCGAATCGAAATTGTTGATTTGGAGTTCTGCTTACCTATTAGTTTTTTGCTTATTCAATTTGCTGAATGTTTTTATTTTTTTTTTGCTTATTTACTTGTACAAGTTGTAGTTCTTCAATCTTTTATGCATTCTATAAAGTTTAAAACCCGTTTATCATTTCATCTTGTCTGTCAGGGTTTTTTTGGTGAGCAGTTTGAATAGCTTGTACAAAATCCTAGGATGAAACCTTTGTTGCCGCCATTGTATTCCAAAGCAAAAAAAATCTAGGTTCTCTTTGGAGTTTGGCTTTGCCATCATTATCAAACTAGATGAATGTGAACTTTAGGTGATGACCTTGATAAACATAAAACATGAGTGATCAGGCTTGTCACGATTAACTTGTTTTGCTTGATTTAGGGAAATATTCAATGCCTGACTGCTGCTGATCTGGACAAGTATGGTGCCGATGCATGGCTTCTTTCTCCTCCTTGCCAACCTTACACACGACAAGGTGAGTTTTTCTTCTCATATCATGGATTACCTTTTGTTTTTTTTCGTTGTTTGGCAAAATGTTACTCATTAATATTGTGCTAGGCCTCAAGAAGGACACTGGTGATGCTCGGGCATGTTCTTTTCTTCAGATTCTTGAGCTCATGCCACTTCTATTGAAGCCTCCAAGTATGTTATTTGTGGAAAATGTTGTTGGATTTGAGGTTTGTCTTGTTTAATTGAACTCATAGTTATTGGCTAAGAGTCCAAATTAACTTCATTAATGATTTCTTCTATTATTTTTTTTTATTTTTTTTCCTTCCTTGGTTACAGACATCTGATACACATGCAAAACTGGTTGAAATATTGGAAAAGACAAATTTTATCACACAGGAGTTCATTCTGACCCCTTTACAGTTTGGAATCCCATATTCCAGGCCTCGTTATTTTTGTCTGGTAGTGTTCTTGGTCCTTGGCATAGTCTTTGGGATGTATTTTATATTATTGAGAAATCATCTGGCAACAGGGAATATGTTTTGGACTCTGATCATATAACTGTATTTTCTAGCAGACGTGTTTACTTTTCATATTTGTTTTAAAAATTTAAATTTAATTTTTTATGTCCTCTGCTTTATCTCGAATGAAATGATAAATTGTTGCGGGTTTCTTATGGAATTTTTCTTTTAGTTGACTTAAATTTTGTTCACCTTTTGTATTTAAGTTTGTCACCCAAGTATCTAATATAATTGTTTGAATTACTTGGAGTATGGGCCTCTATGGCTTAGTGGTGTCTGCAATGTGTCATCAACACAACTTATAATAACATGCTTTTTACAAATGAAATAACAAACACTGGGTCCTCAATGGAGCAGAATTCATTCTAATATTGGATCTATTATTCTGACAGGTTTAAACAATACTATATTTTGAAATTATTTCTTCTACATCAGAGAAGATGCTTTCTGTTTTGGTATGTTATTTTGGAGGTACAATTTTGGAAAACAGAAAAAAGAAGATATGTAATTATATAGTTGTCCTATAGATTTTTCTGCATAGCCATTTTTAGTTTTGTGTTTATTCAGATCATATTAATTTATAGCCAAGTGTGAATATAAAATAAAGATAAACATTGGTCAAAAGGTTTTTGCATGGTCTTTTAATTCGATTGAATAACTTCAAGAGATGGTTGGATTAAGATTTCTGGTAAAGTTAATTGTATTGAGTTGTAGTGCTGGTGTTACACTTCAATTTCACAAAAATTCTTGTTAATTGCTTGATTTGCAAATTACATTTCACAGATGGTGGGTAGCAAAGCAGATGTTGCTATACTAATATCATCAATTAGGATTCTTGCTAGTTGAATTGTAAACCTGTAGCTTAAATATTTTTGTAATTATTGACTTGTATGTGTATAAATTTTTCAGGCTAAGAGGAGACCTTCATCTTTTGTAAAGGAATGTTTCAACCGCCAGCTGATTCATTCTCCAGGGTCATTATTTGAGCACTTTGATACAGTGACGGATGAAGATGATTCATCAAAAGAGGACAAACATAAATTGTTGCAGTCATGTCAACCTATTGAGAAATTTCTTGAATCAAATAACCCTAACAATCATATAGATAATGAATCTGCAGCTTTAATGACTGATTTATCTAATGATGCTCCTAGAACTTTGGGGAAACATAATGGTAATGAATATGAATCTTTGGACCAGTATTATGTGCACCCAAGCTTGATAGAACGGTGGGGAAGTGCTATGGGTATCCTTGCCTAAATTGGTTACATCATATTCAAACCATGTTATAATCTGACCACTATGTATTTCCCATTCCGATCCTTAAAAGAACTTAGATGTTGTCTATCCTGATTCAAAGCGCTGCTGCTGTTTTACGAAAAGTTATTACAGATACGTGAAGGGAACTGGATCCCTTTTGGCAACTGTCCAGGTAAGAATTCTATTTAGTGGAAGTCTTCCTTCGTCATACTGTTTAATGTATCTACATAATACTAAAATTTTATTGTTATTGAGGCACTCAGATGCTTTTCTAACCTATGGTTGTTAAAAGTTTCTTGCTCATTGACATTGAATATCTGGTTAGATTTTTTTTTTATTATTTTTTTTATCATAATTGGGATATTAAATTTCTATGATACCGAATAATATTTTGTTGACATTCACTTTTTCAAATCACCATTTTCTATTTTTTTTTCTCTTCACGAAAACTATATACTGATAAAGAGTATAAATTTATTTTCTTAAAATTAATCTTGGAATCATTCTGAAAATAAACTTAGCAAACCCAACATTTTATTTCTCTTCACGAAAACTATATACTGATAAAGGGTCAAAATTTATTTTCTTAAAATTAATCTTAGAATCATTGAGAAAATAAACTTAGCAACTGTTTTATTTATTTGTTTGGGGAGTAGGGTAACTATTTGGTAGCAATTCCCTTGAACTTGAAATTGGTCTCACAATTTGCTTTCCTCCCGAACTCAACATTTGAATGTGCAGCCAATGAAGAGGGACAAAACATCACTGAAGGAGCAATGCCTCAGATTTTTTACCCCGAGAGAGGTTGGTGATTTTTCTTTATTCTCAAGAATGTCAAATTATTTTGAGCCAATGTTATATGTTTGCAAAAATGCTAGCATGTTTCAGTGTCTGAAATTTTTATCTTGATTTCAGTGCATATTACTAATCTAGTATTTGTCATCATATACATAGGTTGCCAACCTACATTCTTTTCCCGAAGAATTTGAGTTTCCAGAGCACATAAGTCTCAAGCAAAGGTATAGCATTTTATTGGTTTGAATGATAACTTCGCATTCCTACGGAGGAATCCCTTATCGTAATTGTTCGTGCTGTTGACTTCTTGTTAATCCCGAAGCCCTGCTTTACATGAATAAATGTCAGATTGCTGAGTTATATGTTTTCGCGTATTTATGCTTTTATTTTAGCATACTACTAATCTTTTTTTGTTTTTTAGGTATGCCTTGTTAGGAAACAGTTTAAGCATAGAAGTTGTTGCTGCCTTACTTCAGTATCTTTTCACCGAACCTTGATGATCTTCAATCGCCACATGCATTCAACAGAAGCAGATATTTCATAGACCCGTCCCCTATAATTTTGCTATGATAATGAGATCATGTCACAGAATGTTGTGAGTTCGTGTCTCAATCTTGATGATCCAACTCTTACACGAGTTTGGCTATTTTTTACTTCAAAATTCAAATGTAGTTAACTAGGGACACAAAAATGTAAATGAATTTTGAGAGAGATTAAAATGTACTTGTTTGGCATCTTGTAGAAGAAATGATAGGATCTTGTATCAAAGACATTTGAGAAAATATGTAGCTAATCTAGGTGTTCTTTCATACCCAATTGCTGATAGTTTATAGGGCATGCTTTCTTGCCCAATTTTAGACTTAGATGGTATGCTATGGATTTTTTAACGTTATTATTATTTTTTTATGATTTGTTTGGATTGCGGAGTTAATTTGAAAAAGTGAAAAATAAAAGAAACTAAGAAAGTTTTATATTTTGTGTGGATCAGGAATTTTCCAGAATTGAAAAGAAAAAAATAAAAAAAAATAAGACTATTTAGATTAAAAAGAGGATAGTAAAAAAATTCACTTATTTAAAAATACTTATTTATTATTTTAGTATTTTGATATTATTTGGTTATTATTAATATTATATAAATAAATAAATAATTGAGACATGATAGACTATGTCAAGACATAACAACTATCTCTTCTCTATCCTACCTTTCTCATTATTTATTTTACAACACAATTAAACTCAATAAATAAAGGCAAATCGACTTTGGCACACTTCAACATGAATTATTGCAAATTCACTGAACCAGACAAGTCTCCATTAGAGCAAATTTGTGTTCTTTTATCCCTTCTTTAGATCCAAACACACTGATAAGGTTATACTGACATGTTTCCATATCATGTAAAAGGTAATTATGTGTAATTCATCGTTTGTTTTTCTAATAATTTGTAGTTCTAAAGTTATAATTTAATCTTTGTATTAAAAAAAAATAGTATTTATAGTTTTATCCCATAGTCTTTCACTGGTTTTGTTCATAAAGTGATTATATGTCTCCGAAGATTGAAAGGACTTAAATGAAAATATATATTTAGATTGTTTAGTTCGTGACAAATCAAAATAACATTAAGAAAAAAAATTATTGAATTATAAGTAATAGGATTGTTACTCCTAAGAGGCACTAGTTATAATTATAATTTCCAACCATGAAAATCTATTCTCTTGATGAAATTATATCTTGTGAGTGAGAATCATTTATCATAGTAAAGAGTTATAACAGAAAAAATAATCCATTATCACAAAATAGGAGAGAGATGTGAAAACGAGAAATAAAGAATGAGAAAAAAAAAGCATTAATTTGAATAATTTTTCGTTTTCTTTTCTCTCCCTTATATTTGTTTTTCTAACATCTTTCAAACAAAACGTCAACGTGATGAAATGTCTTCACAACATTTTGTGAGCATTTATGTCATGTCAGAGAAGAAAAAAAAATGGTAAACCAAAGGATGCAAATATACTGTAATGTAGCTGAAATATGAAAGAAGGTTATTTTACCTAACAGTTAGAAAAAACCGTGGCGCGTTCATTCTTTTCCCGCCGAAAGGAGTGAGTGTGCAGAGCAGAGAAGCATGGAGAATAGCATCCCTGATCCAGTTGAGTTCATGAAGCCAATGGCCTCCTTTCTCATACGCCACTATTCCGACCAGCTCCACTCCATTGTTTCTTCTCCCGATTCCAACCTTCACTTCCCTCTTTTCGTCGAGTATGATTGTTATGGCATTTCTTTTCTTTTACTGCAAGAGTAACCAACCCCTTTCTCTTATGTAGTTTTGCAGAGTTGATGGAGAAGGAACCTCGCGTTGCTGGTCTCCTCTTTGCTCAACCCAATACCTATTTGCCAGTATTCGATGCTGCTGCTATTTGGGCCCATGTCCGTAATTCTCTCTTTTATTTGTTTATTTTGATTTGGAAGAGTAAAGGAAGAAGCTTGACTTATATTTCTGCTGTGGGTGGTGTTAGCAAGCCGTATTGGTGGATGATATGGAGGAGGGTAAGAAAGGGTTTGAGAAAAAGTTCATTCATGTTCGTATTAACACCATTGGCTCAGCTCTTGAATTCCCTGGTCTGATTTTGCTCTCTACTTGTTTGTTTCAATACCCCTTACGGATCTTCTCCTCCAATGATGATTCATTCGTGTGTGCGTGTTATTTTGTTTGACGGAATCAGAAACTTTTCCAACCATAGGACGTGTTCGCGTGCAGCACCATGGAATTCTTCTCACTCTCAAGGGGATAGTGATCAGGTCCGGAGCAATCAAGATGCATGAAGGGGAGAGGAAGTACATGTGCCAAAAATGCAAGAATAGGTGTCTACTACTTCAACTTTTGTTCCTCCTTCATAATTTGTATGGCTAGTATATCATGGTTACTTCCTCTTTGTAAGAATTTTCAAATGTTAGCGGTATTAGTAATATTAACAATTGCGATGTTGTAACACTGTTTCTACTACACTATGTTCTTTTAACAATGTATACCGCACGCATACTCAATTCCAATTCACTTATATTCACCATGTTCCACAAAAACTTGGCTCTCTGTCTCAATCATTATATGTTATTAGTGTCTTGGTGGAAACCCTTGCTTCCCACTTTGGCTGTGCAACACTGCAGCCATTTCTCTTGTTGGCTGGGAGCTTTTCGGTCGAGTTCTCCAAGAGTATTATTAGAAAGCATCGGAACCAATGGTTTCCTGTGTTGCCTCTGAGTCACAAATCCCTATAAGTTTTCGTTTGATTTCTCAATCCCTTGTCAATGGAGTTAATTACATAATCTGTTAGCTTTGATTGCCAAATTATTTAGTCATCAAAACCAATTGTAACTGTTATTCTTTTTTATTAGGATATATTGCGGCAGAATAATTATATTAATTGTATATATGACTGTTAGCTAATTTAAAGGGAAAGGGGCGGAATATTAGTTTGTATTAAATATATATATATATATATATATATATATATATATGTATATATATATATATATATATCTATGTATACATATATATATATATATATATATGTATACATATATATATGAGAGAATTCTCCAAGAGGGGAACACACATTTTTATCCACACATTTTCTATAGTTTAACATGGTATCAGACTGGATTACGATCCTCGTTTAATCTCATCTTTGTTTTGTGAACCCTAACTTTTGTTTCTTATTCCGATTCCAATCGGTATCATGTCTTCTGAGAAATATGAAGTTTTGTTCATTCGTCTTAATGGCAAGAACTACTTCGCTTGGGCATTTCAATTTGAGATCTTCGTCAAAGGAAAAAATCTTTGGGGTCATGTCGATGGGAGCACGTTGGTTCCTAACAAAGAAACCGAGAAGGATGCCCATGCCAAATGGGAAGTCCACGATGCTCAAGTCATGGCCTGGATCCTTGGCTCTGTTGATTCTACTATTGTTCTAAATCTCCAACCTTTCAAGACAGCGGCTAGCATGTGGGTCTATTTCAAGCAAATTTACCATCAGAACAACACTGCTCGACGTTTTCACCTTGAACACGACATTGCGGTTCTGCAACAAGATAGTCTGTCTATCTCAGAATTTGATTCTCAATTCATGAAACTTTTGTCAGAATACACGGATATCGTTTATGAAAAGTTGCCCTCTACCGGTCTTGATTCTGTTCAATTAGTTCATGAAACCACTAAAAAAGATCAATTTCTTATGAAATTGAGATCTGATTTTGAAGGTGTTCGTTCCAATCTTATGAATCGAGATCCGGTACCCGGTTTGGATGCATGTCTTAATGAGCTGTTTTGTGAAGAACAACGCCTCCGCACACAATCAACCATGGAACAACAAAAATCCATAATAGTCCCTGTGGCCTATGCAGCACAAGGAAAGCCACTAAATCGTGGCTTGAGTGCTATACAATGTTTCTGTTGCAAGAAATTTGGTCATTATGCCTCCAAATTGTCTTCACAAATTTTGTAATTACTGCAAAAAAGATGGACACATTCTTAAAGATTGTCCCACGAGGCCGCCAAGGAAATCTGCCACCGCTTTCACTGCCTTTGTTGGTTCTTCGGTTCCAAGTCCTTTTGCTACAACAACTTCTATTCAACAATATGCTCCTGCCTCTACTCAAACCTTGACCCTTAAGATGGTTCAGCAAATGATCATTTTCGCATTTTCTGCTATGGACATCTCAGGTATAAAATATTTTATGTCTCCCTTCTGGTACTTTGATTCTGGTGCATCCAACCATATGACCAACAATTCCCAACTCCTTACTAATGCCACCAAATATTTTGGAAATCTCACGATTCATATTGCCGATGGAAATCATTTGCCTATAACAGATATTGGTGATATTTCTTCTTTTCTCACTGATGTCTTGGTCTCTCCTGATCTCACTACTAATCTCATTTCTATTGGTCAATTAGTTGATAATAATTGTCGTGTCAAATTCTCAAACTCTGGTTGTCTTGTGCACGATCAATGATCAGGGACGATGTTGCGAAGGGGCCTAAAGTTGGACGTCTTTTTCCACTTCATTTACCTTTGTCTTCCAGTTGTGGCTTACCTTTTATTTCTTGTAATTCTGCTCATTTAGATTACATATGTGGCATAAGTGTCTTGGACATCCAAATTCACATGTACTTCATACTATGCTTAAATTTGGTTTTCTTGTCAATAAAGATTCTCAACCTTTTCATGTTGATTTTGATTGTAGTTCTTGTAAGCTTGGCAAAAAGTAAAATTCTACCATTTCCAAAACATAAATCTATTGTCGGAAAACCTTTTGATATGATCCATAGTGACGTATGGGGGATAACCCCTGTTCCTTCTCATGCTAAGTACAAATATTGTCATTTTTATTGACGATGTGGGAAATCAAATAGTATTTTAGGAAAGAATAAATCAGAAAATTTGTATATTTCCTTGTAATCTGTAAAGATTTGAATAATTAGGAACAATCCCATAAATCAAGGGATCCTAGCATAAAATAGAGTTATTATATTTCCTAAAATAGCTTAGGTCTCCTGTATATATCTTATATCATCTCTTTGTATTGATATAATAAAAATCATATTTCAGTTAATCTAATTTTCCAGATGGTATCAGAGCTTCCGATCTAGGAAGCTCTGTCTACGCGCGATAAACCCTAAGACGGCAGCCTGCATTGCTGCTGCATATTTCTTAACCCTAAGACGACAACCTACATTGCTGCTACATTTTTCTTAACCCTAAGACGGTAACCTGCATTGCTGCTGCATTTTTCTTAATCCTAAGACGACAGCCTGCATTGCTGTTGCATCGCACCTTTTTGCTATAATGTCAAGAGAAGAGGAGATAGAAAGGGTGAAAACCGTTCTTAGTAAGCTGGAAAAACCTATAGGTTTCTTTGGCATACTTAGGTAAGTTTCCACCTTCTTTTGGATTAAATGTCTCAGATACGCCTTTTAACCATTATTGGATATTGGACTCTGGAGCCACAAATCACATGACACCATTAGCCAAACAGTTCTCCACATATTCCCCATGTCCCAGCAACAAGAAAATTGCCACAGCAGATGGAACTCTTATAACTGCAGCTGGTCAAGGAAATATCCAAATCAATCATTTAATAACCTTAAAAGATGTTCTCCATGTCCCAAAGCTATCCACGAACCTAGTGTCTATACAAAAACTTATAAAGGATTTGTCATGTAAAGTTGTTTTTTTCAACGATCATTGTGTATTTCTGTACAAGGATTTGGAGAGGATGATTGGACATGTTAGAGAATGGAATGACCTTTATTAACTCGAAGATCCAAGTCTGCCCAGCAAGAATAGAATCTCTCACTCCTTCATATCTGAATCCTTGATGACCAACAGAGAAAAAATCATGTTTTATCATTGTCGGTTGGGACATCCCTCTTTTGGAGTGATCAAAATTATGTTTCCTTCTTTGTTTACCAAGTTAGATGTTGAGAGTCTTCATTGTGAGGTGTGTGAACTTGCTAAGCACAAGCGTATATCTTTTCCAATAAGTAATAGAATTAGCAATTTTCCTTTTTATCTTGTTCATACTGATGTATGTGGACCTTCTAATATTCCAAATGTGTCTGGTACTCGATGGTTTGTCACCTTTATAGATGACTGTACAAGGGTCATTTGGGTTTTCCTACTTAAACAAAAATCAGAAGTCAGTTCTGTCTTCCTAAACTTCCACTCCATGATAAAAAATCAGTTTGGTGTTAATATTAAGAGGCTTAGGTCAGATAATGCCAAAGATTACTTCAATCATGTCCTTAATTCTTTTTGTCAAAAAGAAGGTATAATTCATGAGTCCTCTTGTGTCAAAACACCACAACAAAATGGAGTCGCAGAGAGGAAAAATGGACATCTATTAAATCAGACTCGGACATTGTTGTTCCAAAAAAGTGTCCAAAAAAATTTATGGGGGGAAGCTGTCCTTACAGCAACATACCTTATCAATAGACTACCCTCTAGAGTCTTAGGATCAAAAAGTCCTATGGAAGCCGTTGAAAGTCCCACATCGCCTACCTCAGGTCATTTGGTATGACTTAAATACATGTTAGGCTACTCCACATATTGCCAATTGGTTTTATGTTGGAACCTTAACATGGTATCAGAGCCAAAGTCTAACATCTTTCCGGTTATTGTCGTGGGCCAAAAGTTGCCCTTTAGTTGGGTCAAAAGTACCCTTTGCCTGGTCCGGCAGACTTCGTTGGAGGGGGCGTGTTGAAAGTCCCACATCGCCTACCTCAGGTCATTTGGTATGGCTTAAATACATGTTAGACTACTCCACATATTGCCAATTGGTTTTATGTTGGAACCTTAACAGAAGCTTTGTCGTCTTTCTATCCAAACTTGTCTACTACAACTAATCTTAAACTAAGTTTTTGGGTGCATCTCATATGTTCATATTCATAGTACAGACAGGGGGAAACTTGATCCTAGAGCCTTAAAGTGTGTCTTTGTTGGTTACTCACCCACTCAAAAAGGGTATAAATGTTAACACCCCCCATCCAAAAAATTCTTTTTGTCTAGGGATGTTACCTTCAATGAACAAGAGGGCTATTTCCATCAACCTTATCTTCAGGGGGAGAGTTTCAGGGAAGATAAGGAAAATAGTAATTCTGGTTTTTCCATTCTTCCAGACTTGACATTTGAACCTAAAAGTAGTAATTCTGGTTTTCCCATTCTTCCAGACTTGATATTTGAACCTAAACGAGATCAAATTGAAGTTGTAACAAATGAAACAAGTCAAGGAATGGGTCAAGAAAAGGAAGTTGGTCAAGAAAGTGAAATTAATTGTGAAGCTGATCAAGAAGATGTTGAAGCTGGAAAATTTGGTAAGAAGCTGGTGTACTCAAGGAAGACTAAGGCCATTCCAGGATCAAGTCATGTTCAAGAATCCAACTCGACTCCACAAAAAGAGGTAACAATTTTTTCTCTAGCTATGCAGGTTGAAATTGAAACCCAAAATGATCCTGACCTCCCAATTGCCATTAGAAAAAGAACAAGAAAATGCACCAAACAACCACTCTACCCTCTCTCAAATTACCTGTCTTTTAAAAATTTCTCTCTTACCCATAAAACCTTCCTAGTAAACCTAAACACTGCACTTCTACCTAATACCCTATCTGAGGCATTGTCTGACAGAAAATGGAGGCAAGCCATGGATGTAGAGATGGAGGCATTGGAGAAGAACAACACTTGGGAGTTAGTCACCTTACCAATAGGAAATAGGCCAGTTGGATGTAAATGGGTCTATATAGTGAAATACAAGGTTGATGGATCAATTGAGAGATATAAGGCAAGACTAGTTGTCAAAGGGTTCACCCAAACCTATGGAGTTGATTATTTGGAGACCTTTGCTCCGGTTGCCAAAATGAACACAGTTAGAGTGATATTGTCCCTTGCTGCCAATTATGGTTGGAACTTGGAACAATTTGATGTTAAGAATGCTTTCCTAAATGGAGACCTTGAAGAAGAAATTTATATGGAGATACCTCCGGGATATGGTAAAGATGTTGCTGCCAACACTGTTTGCAAGTTGAAAAAGGCATTATATGGGTTAAAACAGTCCCCTGTGCATGGTTTGACAGGTTTACTAAAGTTATGATAGGTCTGGGTTACAAACAAAGCCAAGGGGACCATACTTTGTTTTTTAAACATTCCAAGTCAAGGGGAGTAACAATATTATTGGTGTATGTGGATGACATAATATTAACTGGAGATAATAAAGAAGAGCAGCAATTATTGAGCCAATGCTTAGGCAAGGAATTTGAGATCATGACCTTGGGAAAACTAAAATATTTTTTGGGAATTGAAGTTGCCCACTCCGAGAAAGGGATATTTATATCTCAGCAGAAATACATCACTGATTTGCTCAAGGAAACTGGCAAGGCAGCTTGCAAACCTGCTAGTACCCCATTAGAACCAAACCTAAAGCTTGGAAATGCAGAAGAAGATGTTGCTATTGAAAAAGATATGTACCAAAGATTAGTGGGCAGACTTATATATTTGTCACATACCAGGCCAGATATTGCCTATGCAGTGAGTTTAATTAGCCAATTTATGCATAGCCCAAAGGAGACCCATTTACAAGCTGCCCACAGAATTTTACAGTACCTTAAAGGAACTCCAGGAAGAGGGATTCTATTCAAAAGGAATGGTAATGTGAAGCTTGAAGCCTATACCTGATGCCGATTATGCAGGGTCAATTGTGGATAGGAGGTCAACTACAGGATATTGCACCTTTCTTGGAGGAAATCTTTTGACTTGGAGAAGCAAAAGCGGGGTGTAGTGGCTCGGTCCAAGTCTTGAAGCAGATTTCAGAGCCATGGCACAAGGTATATGTGAGTTGCTATGGCTTAAAATCATCTTAGAAGACTTGAGAATAAAGTGGGAAGAACCTATGAAGCTCTATTGTGATAATAAGTCAGCAATCAGTATAGCCCACAACCCAGTGCAGCATGATAGAACAAAGTATATTGAAGTAGACAGACACTTCATCAAAGAAAAGCTTGATAGTGGTTTGATATGCACTCCATATGTGTCCTCTCAATACCAAATTGCAGACATTCTTACCAAGGGACTGGGCTGCCATAATTTTGAAAAGATTGTATGCAAGCTGGGAATGGAAAACATCTATTCACCAGTTTAAGGGGGAGTGTGGGAAATCAAATAGTATTTTAGGAAAGAATAAATCAGGAAATTTGTATATTTCCTTGTAATCTGTACAAATTTGAATAATTAGGAACAATCCCATAAATCAGGGGATCCTAGCATAAAATAGAGTTATTATATTTCCTAAAATAGCTTAGGTCTCTTGTATATATCTTATATCATCTCTTTGTATTGATATAATAAAAATCATATTTTAGTTAATCTAATTTTCCAGAGACGATTATAGTTGTTTCACATGGGTCTATTTCTTGCGGTCTAAACATGAAGTATTCTCTACATTCAAATTTTTTCATGCTTATGTTCAGACCCAATTTTTTTCCAAAATTAAAATTCTGCGGTCTGATAATGGGGGAAGTATACATCTCATTTATTTTAGGAATTTCTGCAATCTAATGGTATCTTATCTCAACGGTCTTGTCCTTCCACTCCCTAACAAAATGGGGTAGCTGAACGGAAAAATCGTCATTTACTAGATGTTGTTTGTACTCTTTTGTTAGAATCTTCTATGCCCTCTAGGTTTTGGTGTGAAGCTCTATCCACTACGGTTTATCTTATCAATTGTTTGCCATCCCCATCATTAAACAATGATTCTCCTTTCATTCGACTATTTACCATCTACCTGATTATTCTACTCTTCGTACCTTTGGTTGTGTGTGTTATGTTCATCTTCCTTTCCACGAACGTCATAACCAATTGTAACTGTTATTCTCTTTTATTAGGATATATTGTAGTAGAGTAATTGTATTAATTATATATATGGCTGTTAGCTAATTTAAAGGGAAAGGGACATAATATTAGTTTGTATTATATATATATATATATATATATATATATATATATATATATATATATATATATGAGAGAATTCTTCAAGAGGGGAACACACAGTTTTACCCACACATTTTCTATAGTTTAACATCCCTCCTGTCCTAATGGATCAATTGTTAAACTCCTAGTGGGACAGTAGAAATCATTAAATTTTACCTTGGTAGATATTACAGTGATAAACTTGTTAAAAGTAACCGAGTTAATATTCATGCATATATGATATGTATACACTAGCACGAGGGAAGTGGTTGAATGTTATAAACAACTAAGCACTAGCTCCACTACTAGTAACTATATTAGCCGCACACTTTCTTGTGGCACTAGAGGCTGTAATTAAGTGCTTCCACCATGTGTGTGCGCGTGAGTTCACTTACGTACATTTACGAACCCACTAGGGTTGTCTTAATGGTGGTGGATTTGGGTAGCTTGCATAATGTTTTAGGTTCAAACCTCATTGTCACCATTGTGCACCAAATACTTATTCACATTCACAACTTGGCATAGATACCTGTTTACGCCCATGTACCTCAACAATTTTGCCACATCAATTAATTAAAAATGTGTGTAGCTTCCCAGTTCATCCTTTGGTGGAAGCTCGAAACTCCATATCATTACCATCAATTTGCCCAATTCAGGTATGTTCTGCATCTGAGTTTTAAGTTCTACATTTTTCCTACAATACTTGGATATTTGTTCCCATTTCATAAACCAAAAAAGTTAATACATAATATGATATGATTTGATACAAAAAATGTTACCAAATTTTTCAATTAGTAGATATTGATTTTGTTCCTTATCATTGTATTTCTTGTTCATTATAAAATAAGAATACTCATGCATGTACTTAACACATGAAATTCATTATATTCCTTCTCAGTTTCTTTCTTTCAACATGGTACCAGAGTAGTATCATCCTCTCTGTGACCTGTGTCGTCATTAATTCTTTAACAATATGCAATCCTATATTAAAATATAAGATAAGCTAAGTGCCACATTATACTTCTTTTTTGTGCTATGTGAATTTATTGCAACAAGTTGAGGAATCATTGGTCAACACTCTCAATTCATAAAATTTCCTGAAAGCTTAATATTTGATTTTTGAACTTTTGTCTTTTCAATGTATGTGTTTGTTTTTCTGTAAATCTGATATACTACTTTTAAATTGGCAGAATATATTTTTGCCTTTGGTTATGTTTGTTATTTGTTGTTTATAATAGCAGAACTCCAAGCCTTGTGGAGGCACAAAATTCCAGTATGTAGAGAATACTATTGTATGCCATGATTATCAGGAGATAAAAATTCAAGAAAGTACACAGGTGCTAGGTGTTGGGGCAATTCCTCGTTCAATTCTTGTCATCTTAAAGGATGACCTCGTGGATGTTGTTAAAGCTGGAGGTATTCATTTCAAATTTTGAAAACTATTGTATCACATACACGTTACTTTTTAACATATGGTTGGCCTTGGGTTATTAGCAATGAAAATTATGAGCAGGTTTCAGTCTAATGTGTGGTGGCCCTGTTTCTCATTTGCCACTTTTGATCTATGACATCTAGTCCTTAAACTATGACTTTTCCTTTCTGAAAATTACGAATGATGCATCTTTGAATTTCTTTTAAAGCTTGGACTCAGCTCATATAAATAATCAAGTCTAATTGAAAGTTTGGGTTTGTTTATTTGACTTAGCAAATAAGTTTGAACAAGTAATTAACAAGCCAAATCCAAATCCAAATAGTTCACGAACAATTTTACTCATTTACACCCCTAGTTCTTGCCATTATAGCATGTATATTGCCTTGGAAATGAGGGTCATGTGATGAATTCATGAATGCTATATATGATTTTGGTTATGGAGGATATGATTCTCTTTTGCTTGCAGATGATGTTATTGTCACTGGTGTCATAACAGCAAAATGGGCTTCAGAGTTGAAGGATGTGCGTTGTGACCTTGATCCTGTATTAATTGCCAACAATGTAAGGTGCATACGAAGTTCTCACTATGTTTACCTTAAAATTAGTAAAAAAAATAAAGTATCCTAGTGTTTGACATTGGCAATTAAAGTTTATCAGGCGAAAAATATATTTATTATGCATGTAGAATCTTTTCCCATTCCCCCATACTATATAAACCATCTGGTGATACCTGAAGTAGAATTCCAATCTATTCTGACAATATTCTTCTAATCATTCTCTTTTCAGTTTATTCAATTGTTAGTTCTTTAATTGTGTAATGCTTTGATATGAATCTCACATTCAAGGATTTTTCTTTCCAGCACTCAATTTATTTCTATGATGACTTAATTATGTTTCCACTTTCCATTATTCTCATTCTCCAAATCCTAGGTTGTCAACACAAAATTATTCATGCACCTCCATAGCTTTTGGGCTGAATGTGTTCCTAGGATGGTCTTTATTAGAAGGTAGATATGAACTTAACTCAAGCCTACAAAACTGACTTATAAGTTGAAATTTGCACTTCACTTATACACTATAATTTGGTTATATCTTCCCTACACTCCCTCATACCGATGACTGGAAATCTTGAAGATGGCACTAGATATTTATGGGTAGTCCTATAGCAGCCCCGATAGTGAGATAATAGGCCCAACAAACTTTAGTATAATAGGTTTTGATATCATATTATAAAGAGGAAGTCTAACTCAATCTTACAAAATCCACTTGAAAGCTAAATTTTTGCACCTATATATATATATATATATATATATATATATATATATATATATATATATATATATATATATATATATATATATATATATATATATATATATAAATATATATATATATATATATATTATAATTTGGTCTTATTTCTTGTCAATGTAGGATTTCCAATAATATTAAAGTCTCCTGATTCACTTGATCTTTAAATCAGTCATTTTTAACCTCATTTTTCATTATTAAATTATATGTTAGCCCAAGTTAAGGTGGATCTGTGCATTATCCATGCAATGATGTCATAAATTTGAAGTGCCATCCTATAAAGTGTTCTGTTGAAATAAGCTAGTCCAGTCTCTCATCTTTGCAAATTGATCATTAAAACACTGATCCTCTTGACTCTATTTGGCTACTTTTATAATTTGACCTTGTTTTTTACTAGAATGAGTTCTTAACAAGAAAAAGCAAGTTTTTTGTTAGAACCTTTGCTCAATGTTCTTTGTTTTCCTAATTCTGAATCCAATTTATTTGGGACTAATCTGAAATTGTTTACATCATAAATTTAATGTATAATTTGAAATAATAAAGACTCCTCAAAATAAATGATAGAAGAAAAGTGAGATATATAACATACAAATTTTGTAGCATAAATAGTCAGCAAGGTGAGCCCTGGCGCAGACTAATAAAAGTTGCAATTTGGTGGCTGGTAGGTAAGGGTGCATCCAATGATCGTCTCTGATACCTTCGCATAGTCAGGAGCCATCTGGCACTAGATTATGTTAGTTTTTATATTTTTGCAGTAGGCAGTCTTAGAAGTAACAGCTTTCTCGCCTTTTGCATATGTCCACCCTGCATTTTTCTTCACAACTATGTCAAAGCTAAATATGAATGACTGCATATATGATCATTTTTACTCATTTATTCAGGACTTTTTTTTTTCCTTTGTTTTATATAACTGTACAAGATTTGTTTGCATTACAGTGTTTTAAAATTAGTACTGCATTGATATTATTTTTATGATTCTCTTGCTTATAGTTTTAAGATTTTATGAAGAAAAATATTACGGAATTTCATTAACTTTTGGGTTTCCTTCCCACCTTTAAATTGGCTGCATGATTCTTCTGTGTAATACGGACCATGGAGAACCAAGCGATACAGCTAGCCATTATGGTGGCAGAGCCCAAAGCCATAAATCCAATATTAAAATCCCTTAATTCCCTTGCTGGATGCCAGTCCTATACCCATTACCTTGTAATTGGGCCCTAACATTCTTCCATGCAGACCATGCTCCATAGACCTGGCAATGATAGGCTGGCAGTGCACTAGCTATTTGACTAGTCATGGAAAACACTGCTATGTCATTATTACCATCCTTATTTGCAACTAAGAATTGATGGAATTGCTACTGCCACAAATGTAACAGTAAAGATAAAGGGAAATACAAGAAGTAAATGAACCCAACAACACACAATTCATGCAATTCACGACCACCTCACCTAGGTGGTCTGGTAGATATCACACGATATATGTTTTAATATATTTAAACAAAGCACATATTAAGTGCTTTCAGGAATTGAACTTATGCTTTAAATTGTAGTCATCTATTATGATCCAATGGAAGGAAAGCAAAGAATCTGATCAAGTTTACTCTGAATTTTTATTTTCTCATTGTTGTCAGGAGAGTCAATGAACTGAAGTCAGAAATTGATATTTCTGATGATATTGTTATGAAATTCAAGCAGTTTTGGGCTAACTTCAAAGATTCACCTCTAAAAGGTGGTATTTTGATGCACACCTCTGGTATTGCTTGTATAAATTAAATTCATATTTTTTGAACCTTTTGGTTTCTCCCAATCTTTGTGTTTTTATATGTCTATAAGAAATTGGACTGCACAATGCAGCGTTATTCATCACGTATAATTGCTGGTCGAACCCTGTCCAGACTCCTTACGTTCCAAATTTGGTTAATGACAGTAAAAGTTTTATGGAATGCCATGATTTATGTATATTATGTGAGATGAAAATTCTAAATCCTTTTCAAACTGATCCAGGAAGGAATGCTATTCTACGAGGAATTTGCCCGCAAGTATTTGGCCTTTTCACTGTTAAGCTGGCTGGTAAATACGTTCACCGTATGTTGATTCTTATGACTATTTATACATTCATCTTGAAATTTGTTGCATTTTAATATAGGTTCAGTACTTGCTACTTACAAGCTTTCATCCTGGACTTATCTTTTCTTTTGAGGATTTTGTTTGAAATATTTTGTGCTTGTATCAAAGAATACAAGAATTTATGTATAATGAGATTCCTTGACACATTTATTTCAAAAAATTCTAATAAAAAACAAAATACCTCGGTTCATATTGGAATGTTTGTAGAAGGGATTGAGTTTATTTAAATTTTAAACTAAAACAAAATTGAACCTTAAAATGAATAGGTCATTTAAATAGATTAAACTTTCAATTCATCTTGGAAATGGAAATACTGAAGATGAAGACACAGTCTTTTGAATTCCACTGAATTTCATTCAGAAAAGGAACCTTATAATAAAGATTTTATAAGGAAATCTTCAGAAAGAGTTTATAAGGAACATAGTCCATGGCAGGACTTTAGAGGGGCAACAGAGTCACAATGTTAGTATGGTTAAGAACACAAAACGATTTGTTCTTTTCAAACTGATAATTATTTTTCTGCTGATAAATTAACTGAAATTCTTCATTTTTGTGAATCATGATCATCACTCTTTGCAAACTTCTCATGTCTTTTGCTTCTGCAATCAGTTGCATTAACTGTTATTGGAGGTGTGCAACATGTCGATGCTTCTGGAACTAGGGTAAGAGGGGAGTCCCACTTACTCTTGGTTGGTGATCCAGGTAAGCAGTCCATTGCTGTTACTATTTCTGAACTATGTGGAGTTTTCTGTCAGTTCTTATCGTCAAATTTAGGTGAAGAAAAATATGTTTTACTCCTAAGTCTCCCTCATATACTGTCTTGGTTACAGGCACTGGAAAATCTCAGTTTCTGAAATTTGCTGCAAAATTGAGCAACCGATCTGTTATTACCACTGGATTGGGAAGCACCAGTGCAGGATTGACTGTTACTGCAGTGAAGGATGGAGGCATGTTTTTCATACAACTTATATTTTAACAGCAACAGATTCTTTCAGTTTCATTCATAATTTGTTGTACCTATTCTATTTGTATCCATGTTTTACATTTCTATCAAAGTATTTGTTTCTAGCTTGAATTCACCACTTGCTATTAAAGCTATTTATAATCATGTTCTAGTTGCACAGGAAGTCCTAGATTTTGTTGATCATTGTTGTTGAACCCTTAACATGAGAGACTTGTTAGGTTGTCTTGGTTTTTTAATAATTGATTTTTGTTGTTGATACATGTCAATAAAGGTGTTTTTCTTTATGCTACATTTCTTCTTATCAAGTTTTTAAACTTGTTTCTTCTCATTGTGTATTTGTTGGAGTTCAAATGTGAATAATAATCCTCATATTGTGTAGAACATGGTAAAATGAATAATATATAAGAAGAAAAACTCACATCTTTTTTCTTTTAAAGTTTTGAATTGAGAATGATGTCAAATACTCGTATATGGTTGACTGATAACCCATTTCCTTAATATATCCTCATTTGTTGCTCCTCCTCAATCCATAACAAACTGGTATTAGATCCAGTTTTGTCCTGGTGACTGACGAGTATATTATACAATGTGGAACAAATTTACTTAAGGGGGATGTTGTTGGTATTTATGTGTGAGTTGAAAGTCTCATGTTGTGTAAAAATAGGTAAGTTAAACAATATATAAGGAGAAAAACCCACAAACCTATAACATTAAGGTTTTGCGTTGAGAGTGGTATAAGTTGTTATTGTGATTGAGTTATGATGCCCATTTCTTGAATGTCTCCCCACTTGTTGATCTCCCTTGATCCATAACAAGAGTGCTTTATTCTAGCACCATTTCAAGAGTGCTTTAATTTAATCATACATAACACATTTAATTGTATAAAAACTTCAGCATGCATCTGCGTACCTTGTGGATGGTTATACTAATTTCAAGGCTAAATTGTGGAATCATTAGGGGAATGGATGTTGGAAGCTGGGGCTCTTGTTTTGGCAGATGGAGGATTGTGTTGCATAGATGAATTTGACAGGTAAGCTCTTGTAATTGCTTTGGTTTTGAAATTTCTTCTGGGGATTTAGTCCTTTACCATATGTTGTATATGGTTAATTATTATCCCAATTTGAAGCTGAAAAAAATTGAAATAATGAGAAGGATGTTCACATTTGGAGATTTAACTTGGATATTTAATCAGGAAAACTTCTGTTGGTAAGAATTATAAAACATTTTCTTTTGGTTTTTAAACACTAAATTTAAAAATTTGATGTTTGTGTCTATGACTATGCACAAAGATGCCTTAATTTCCGAAGTTCCTTTGCCAATCGAAGTTTTCTTTCTCATTTTTTGAATGATGCAACAAAACTCGTAGTCTGTAATAAGATATCATGCTTTGGTTTAATGGGAACTAAACTTTAACCTTAAACTACACTAAGTGTGAGAAATCAAATAGTATTTTAGGAAAGAATAAATAAGGAAATTTGTATATTTCCTTGTAATCTGTACAGATTTGAATAATTAGGAACAATCTCATAAATCAAGGGATCCTAGCATAAAATAGAGTTATTATATTTCCTAAAATAGTTTAGGTCTCTTGTATATATCTTATATCATCTCTTTGTATTGATATAATAAAAATCATATATTTCAGTTAATCTATTTTTCTCAGATGGTATCAGAGCTTCCGATCTAGGAAGCTCTGTCTGCGCTCGATAAACCCTAAGACGGCAGCACTGCATTGCTGCTTGCATATTTTGTAACCCTAAGACGGCGACTGCATTGCTGCTTGCATTTTTCTTAACCCTAAGACGGTGACTACATTCGCTGTTGCATTTTTATTAATCCTAAGGCGACGACTACATTGCTGCTTGCATTTTTCATAATCCTAAGACAACGACTGCATTGTTGTTGCATCGCACCTTTTTGCTATAATGTCAAGGGAGAGGAGATAGAAAGGGTGAAAACCATTCTTAGTAAGTTGGAAAAACCTACGGGTATGTGTTCTTTGGCATACTCGGGTAAGTTTCCACCTTCTTTTGGATTAAATGTCTCGGATACGCCTTTTAACCATTATTGGATATTGGACTCGGAGCCACAGATCACATGACACCATTAGCCAAACACTTCTCCACATATTCCCCATGTCCCAAGCAACAAGAAAATTGCCACGGCGAGATGGAACCCTTATAACTGCAGTTGGTCAAGGAAATATCCAAATCAATCCTTTAATAACCTTAAAAGACGTTCTCCATGTCCCAAAGTTGTCCACGAACCTAGTGTCTATACAAAAACTTATAAAGGATTTGTCATGTAAAGTTGTTTTTTCCAACGATCATTGTGTATTTCGGGATAAGGATTCGGGGAGGATGATTGGACATGCTAGAGAATGGAATGACCTTTATTATCTCGAAGATCCAAGTCCGCCAGACAAGAATAGAATCTCTCACTCCTTCATATCTGAATCCTTGATGACCAACGAGAGAAAAAATCATGCTTTATCATTGTCGGTTGGGACATCCCTCTTTTGGAGTGATCAAAATTATATTTCCCTCTCTTGTTTACCAAGTTAGATGTTGAGAGTCTTCATTGTGAGGTGTGTGAACTTGCTAAGCACAAACGTATATCTTTTCCAATAAGTAATAGAATTAGCAATTTCCCTTTTTATCTTGTTCATACTGATGTATGGGGACCTTCTAATATTCCAAATGTGTCTCGGTACTCGATGGTTTGTCACCTTTATAGATGACTGTACAAGGGTCACTTTGGTTTTCCTACTTAAACAAAAATCGGAAGTTAGTTACTGTCTTCCTAAACTTCCACTCCATGATAAAAAATCGGTTTGGTGTTAATATTAAGAGGCTTAGGTCGGATAATGCCAAAGATTACTTCAATCATGTCCTTAATTCTTTTTGTCAAAAAGAAAGTATAATTCATGAGTCCTCTTGTGTCAAAACACCACAACGAGAATGGGGTAGCAGAGAGGAAAAATTGACATCTATTAAATCGGACTCGGGCATTGTTGTTCCAAAAAAGTGTCCCAAAAAATTTACGGGGAAAGTCTGTCCTTACGACAACATACCTTATCAATAGACTACCCTTTAGAGTCTTAGGATCAAAAAGCCCTATGGAAGTTTTGTCGTCTTTCTATCCAAACTTGTCTACTACAAATAATCTTAAACCAAGAGTCTTTGGGTGCATCTCATATGTCCATATTCATAGTACGAGACGGGGAAAACTTGATCCTAGAGCCTTAAAGTGTGTCTTTGTTGGTTACTCACCCACTCAAAAAGGGTATAAATGCTACCACCCCCATCCAAAAAATTCTCGTGTCTAGGGATGTTACCTTCAATGAACAAGAGGGTTATTTCCATCAACCTTATCTTCAAGGGGAGAGTTTCGGGAAGATAAGGAAAGTAGTGATTCTGGTTTTCCCATTCTTCCGGACTTGACATTTGAACCGAAACAAGATCAAATTGAAGTTGTAACAAATGAAACAAGTCAAGGAATTGGTCAAGCAAAGGAAGTTGGTCAAGAAAGTGAAATTAATTGTGAAGGCTGATCAAGAAGATGTTGAAGCTGGAAAATTTGGTAAGAAGGCTGGTGTACTCAAGGAAGACTAAGGCCATTCCAGGATCAAGCCATGTTCAAGAATCCAACTCGACTCCACAAAAAGAGGTAACAATTTTTTCTCCAGCTATGCGAGGTTGAAATTGAAACCCAAAATGATCCTGACCTCCCAATTGCCATTAGAAAAGGAACAAGAAAATGCACCAAACGACCACTCTACCCTCTCTCAAATTACCTGTCCTTTAAAAATTTCTCTCCTACCCATAAAACCTTCCTAGTAAACCTAAACAACTGTACTTCTACCTAATACCCTATCCGAGGCATTGTCGACGAGAAAATGGAGGCAAGCCATGGATGAAGAGATGGAGGCATTGGAGAAAAACAACACTTGGGAGTTAGTCACCTTACCAATAGGAAAGAGGCCGAGTTGGATGTAAATGGGTCTATACGATGAAATACAAGGTCGATGGATCAATTGAGAGATATAAGGCAAGACTAGTTGCCAAAGGGTTCACCCAAACCTATGGAGTTGATTATTTGGAGACTTTTGCTCTGGTTGCCAAAGCTGAACACGATTAGGGTGATATTGTCCCTTGCTGCCAATTATGGTTGGAACTTGGAACAATTTGATGTTAAGAATGCTTTCCTACATGGAGACCTTGAAGAAGAAATCTATATGGAGATACCTCCGGGATATGGTAAAGATGTTGCTACCAACACTTGTTTGCAAGTTGAAAAAGGCATTATATGGGTTAAAACAGTCCCAGTGCATGGTTTGGCGGGTTTACTAAAGTTATGACAGTGCGGGTTACAAACAAAGCCAAGGGGACCATACTTTGTTTTTTAAACATTCCAAGTCGGGGGAGTAACAATATTATTGGTGTATGTGGATGACATAATATTAGCTGGAGATAATAAAGAAGAGCAACAATTATTGAGTCAATGCTTAGGCAAGGAATTTGAGATCAAGACTTTGGGAAAACTAAAATATTTTTTGGGAATTGAAGTTGCCCACTCCGAGAAAGGGATATTTATATCTCAGCAGAAATACATCACCGATTTGCTCAAGGAAGCTGGCAAGGCAGCTTGCAAACCTGCTAGTACCCCATTAGAACCAAACCTAAAGCTTGGAAATGCAGAAGAAGATGTTGCTTGTTGAAAAAGATATGTACCAAAGATTAGTGGGCAGACTTATATATTTGTCACATACCGGGCCGGATATTGCCTATGCGGTGAGTTTAATTAGCCAATTTATGCACAGCCCAAAGGAGACCCATTTACAAGCTGCCCACAGAATTTTACACTACCTTAAAGGAACTCCAGGAAAAGGGATTCTATTCAAAAGGAATGGTAATGTGAAACTTGAAGCCTATACTGATGCTGATTATGCAGGGTCAATTGTGGATAGGAGGTCAACTACAGGATATTGCACCTTTCTTGGAGGAAATCTTGTGACTTGGAGAAGCAAAAAGCAGGGTGTAGTGGCTCGGTCCAGTGCTGAAGCAGAATTCCGAGCCATGGCACAAGGTATATGTGAGTTGCTATGGCTTAAAATCATCTTAGAAGACTTGAGGATAAAATGGGACTTTCAACAATTTGGTATGGTTTAAATACATGTTAGGCTACTTCACATATAGCCAATTGGTTTTATGTTGGAACCTTAACATGGTATCAGAGCCAAAGCCTAACATCTTTCCGGTTATTGTCATGGGCCAAAAGTTGCCCTTTAGTTGGGTCAAAAGTACCCTTTGCCTGGTCCGGCAGGCTTCGTTGGAGGGGGTGTGTTGAAAGTCCCACATCGCCTACCTCATATCATTTGGTATGGTTTAAATACATGTTAGGCTACTCCACATATAGCCAATTGGTTTTATGTTGGAACCTTAACAGTTATTATATTTCCTAAAATAGTTTAGGTCTCTTGTATATATCTTATATCATCTCTTTGTATTGATATAATAAAAATCATATATTTCAGTTAATCTATTTTTCTCAGACTAAGCTACTCTTCTATTTGAAATTCAGAAGAGCTGGACTAGATCTAAATTTAATTGATTTGACATTTCCAACACCTGAAAGGTTTGACACCCTTAAGTTGGGTGATGAAGTTTCACTACATGTTTTCATGAAACTTGAAAGTCCTGATTTAATGGAAATTCTGGCAGGACTGTATTTTCATTTAGTTTCCTGGCATTGGGTATGTAACTAAATATTATCCTGGCAGTATGAGGGAGCATGATAGAGCAACAATACATGAAGCCATGGAGCAGCAGACAATTAGTGTTGCCAAGGTAATGTTTGAGTACATTATGCAAAAATTTATTGAAATTTAGCTTTCTCTAAAACACAGGTAAACTGGCAGCTGTCAGGCTTGTGGAAAAAAAAATGTGGCTACTGATTTACTCTCTTGCTTTATTCAGGCTGGTCTTGTGACAACACTCAGCACTAGAACAACTGTGTTTGGTGCTACAAATCCCAAGGGACAGTATGATCCTGATCAACGTATCACTTACGTCAGTATATATTAGTTTAATACTATTTGAGATTGATGTCAAACTACAGTCCTTATTACTCTTGATGTGCAATCAAGGGCATTGAGTTCTTTCCTCTTGCTTCTAGCTTATGTCTGAAGAAGTTTACTCTTGCTTCAGTTCAATACTTGTCTGACTTAACACAAGATAGCTCTTTCTGTCAATACAACACTTTCTGGTCCTTTATTAAGCAGGTTCGATATTGTCCTTGTTCTATTGGATACAAAAAATCCTGATTGGGATGCAGTAGTTTCATCTCATATTCTTTCTGAGGTAGTCTCTGTCCCTGTTCAACGCATACAGCTTCACATGGTTAAAATTATAATACTTGTATGAAAACTATATCCAGGAAGAAGCGGATAGAACCACTAATGACAAAGATCTGGTTAATAGCTGGCCACTTCCTACACTCAAGAGGTAAGGCATGAGGTAATGGCCATGAATAACGCTGTTTGCGGATCATAAAATGTAGAAATGAAAACTATGTTTGAGCCCGTGTGGTTTCAGTTTTATACTCTCTTATCTCTTGATCATATTTAATCTCAGTCATCAAATTAGGAATCTAGCATTTAAATTTAATTTATCCTAACTTGATTTTGAGACCCATTGTTGGCATTTTGAAATTGCTCATAATTTTATTAGCCCCGGTACTATAATGGAGTAGTGGAGCGGCCTTGGCCTATAATGGAATGCAGTGATCCTAGTTCTGTGCAAAATTCAATCTCCATTGAGTTCCTTTTGGCTGTAGGAATATGCTTCAAAATGAGATAGAACTTGTTTATTTCCAAATTTCGTTAAGTTTTAAAATCAATGTCTTTGTAAGAAATTCTTGGTCAGTTACAATGGTGAAAGGAATCCTCCAGGTACATACACTATGTGAAAGATCATTTCAGACCAGTCCTAACGAGAGAGGCTGAAGAAGTTATATCCAGCTATTATCAACTTCAAAGGAAATCTGCAAATCATAATGCAGGTTTGACCTAGAAGCTAGTTGTTACGCAAATTGAGTATAATAGAACTATTTATGTCATTTTCCTTGATTACAAATTTGCAATGTAGCTAGAACAACTGTCCGCATGTTGGAAAGTTTGATACGCCTAGCACAAGGTATATAACTAGCACTGGATGAAACTTCTGTGTTCAACTTCTCCCTCTTACTACGTGCTTTTACTCTTTAAATGTCAGCCCATGCAAGGCTGATGTTCAGAAATGAGGTGACTCGACTAGATGCCATAACGGCTATTTTATGCATAGAATCCTCCATGACTACCTCAGCTATCGTGGATTGCATTGGGAATGCTCTGCATTCCAATTTTACTGACAACCCTGATGAGGAATGTATCCTTGCGGTCTTTTCTTACATAAATTAGCCTAACATGCATTTAAACTTTTTTCTAGAACCTAATAAAGTGATAGCATAAGTAGTGTTCTTTAGTTTACAAGAAAATCTTGAGAACTTTACATGGTAATGGTGTTTTACCTTAGTCAAAGAGATCTATCTGCAGCAGAGAACATAGAGATTGTGCGTATTAGATAAAATGAATGCATTTAAATGGCCTTTAGTTTTGTGCATAGCTGAGTCATATTCTTGTGTTGCGTGATGTCCCCTCTTCACAGCTTTTTGACTTTGCTTCAGCAATAATTTCTTTACTACACAATAAACAGATGCAAAGCAAGAAAGATTGATCCAACAAAAATTAAATAGCGTGGAGGAATGAAAGCTAAGAAAGGAGAAAGAAATGGAAGAGTGGTGTAGTATAAGTGGTTCCGGCTCTGCCATTTTTATTACAATGGAATTGATTGCTTCAGTTTGGTTGAACAGTTCTATGCTTGAAGGACAAAGGTTCGGGTCACAAGCTAGGGAATTATCCAATTTTCTTCCTGATGTATATGGTTCTGAATATGTTAAAGGTTACAAGCTTTACGAATCACAAGAATTTAATCTATGGAAAGATTACTGAAGTTACATATCGAATTTGGTTTTTATTTTTTTCGATAAAGTCTTTTTTATATTCAACTTTGACAACTTGTTTAATTTTACATATTCATTTTATAGTAACAAGTTAAACCCTCTTTCATTTTGGATCAATTAAGGGGTTATTATCACCACCTGCAATTTGAATTATCTTAATTACCCTTGCCTGAATTATGTGATCATAGAAATTTGACATGAATGTCTGTAAAATTAATAATTTCATCAATTACTCAACAAATGTTTCTCTGAATCTCAGTCTTTGAAGGAGTTTTCACAATCGGTGAGCAATGGAATAAAATGGTGTAGCGTTTGATAAAATTTCATAAGATTTTTACTCCAACTAAACTTGAGGTTTTGTTATATTTTTGGATTAGTGTTCAGCTCAGAGTTTCACATAAAATTTATGTGAAATATGGGACTTTGGTAAGATACAATTCATGACGTAGAATTAATGCATCTGCTGAATAAAAAAACAAACGCTCATTAATGTAATGATTTTTTTATGGCTTTGAAAAAAAAAAAAACTCTGTATTCATATATGACTTTGAGCATTTAATCAATCATATAAATAATACATTTTAAATAAAAATTATTCAACTAAAATTTTTATCAATTTATTAAATTATTTAAATAACATTTTTGTCAAATTATTTATTTTTATATAGTTTTTCTCTTTTTTTCACAATTTTTTTATTCCTTATTTTTCTTTTTTCTTTTTTTTTCATCTCACCTCTTTTATTCTTGGTTCTTCTATCCCGCTTACTTTTTTAATTTAAAATAATAAAAATATATTAAAATAATTTTTTTGAATTAAAATTGAAAAAATAATATCAATTAGTTATTTAAAATTATGTTGACAAAAAATAATTTATTTTTAATGATAATAAATAATCAATTTATAATTATTTTATTATAATAAATCAATTACTCATAAAAATAATTTATTTCTAATGATAATAAATAATCAATTTATAATTATTTTATCATAATAAATCAATTACTTATCTAATTAAAAAATATAAAATATTTATGAGTTGAATTTATTTTTTTATTTAATAATTTAATTTAGTTATAATTAATTAAGTAATAATAATTAGTCAGATTGAATAATTAAAAAAATTACTTTAAAATAAATGTTGGATTTTATTTTTGATAATAATAACATAATAATATTTTTAATACTTTAAAATTTATTATATAATATTTTTTAAAATATAATATATTAAATTATAGTATTTTTATATAATTTAAATATTTTTCTTTTCTAAAGAAAATAAAAGATTGATCTTATTAAAAATAATAATATATAAACAATCCCATATCTTAAACCAAGAATTGAATAACCATTTTTTATCAATATAATAATATTAATAAAATAATAATAATAATAATAATAATAATAATAATAAATCTATAATTCAAAAGTTGTTTCAATAATTGGTTTAGAATGAATGTCAACTTATTATTTTCTTTATTAATTTTTAATATATTATTTTTAATTAAAAAATAAAAGACATTCAGATTAAAAAAAGAGAGAAAAACAATTAATATATAACGAGAGAGAAAAAGAAAAAAGAAAAAAAAGAGAAAAATTAAAAAATAATTACATTTTATTAAACCTTCACTTTTATTATTGATTTTTATATATAAATAATAAAATGATGTAATTAAATAAATAAATTAATAAATATTTTATTTAAATAATTTTTTAAATATATTATTTATGAGTTATAAATAAAATTAAAAAAATACATAAATAAAAATATATTATTTATAAAAATTATTGATTGATTGGAAATAAATATAGACAAGTTTTGTGTTAGATTAAAAATTTGAAATAATAAGACTATATGCTGTATTTATAAATAAGAAATAAAGTTAAAATTTTAATATAATCATAATAATTATTAGTTTTTAAATTCTTTATTAGGATTTAAACATTAGATTTAATAAAATAATATTTTTATAATATAACAAATTTATTAATATTAATATTTAAAAAAAATTAGAATAAAACATTCGTAATTTATTTGTATTCAAATTTAATATTACATTAAAGTTGAATCTAATAGAATAACATTTATGTAATTACTAGGAGACCGAAGAGTTAACAGTGCCATCCGAAACCTAGTCTAGTTCATTCCACAGAGGGAAAAAAAAAAAAACACGGTAGATCCAATAAATTTCAGACTCTAGTCTGTCTAACCGTGTTTTATTAAATCCTGAAACGCAGAGGAAACGTTGTTGAATTGTCGAAAAGCAGGGAAAAAAAGGGAAGAGTCTGCGACGCTGTTTCAATTGTGGTCGTTTCGGTGCCCTATCGTAGACAACCATGGTAAGATCTCCCATCTTCACTCACTGAAACCAATGCGATACATCATTCATCATTAGTTCTACTGTTCTTTCCAATTTTCTACTCTTCTTTTCAGATAAATAATATGCCTAAGTGAGTAGCTTCTCTTTGTTTCTTGTATCAAATCTAGGGTTCAGAACAGCAAAAAAATTAAAATAATAATAATAATAATGATGAATGAGCCATTAACTCGTGCAATTCCCGTATCAGTCATCTTTATACAGGGGCGAATCCAGGAGGTACAACAATAAAACAAGGGGACGCCATCATTTGACGACGCAGAAGAAGCAGGAAATTAAGGAAGCCTTTGAATTATTTGATACTGATGGCTCAGGTTTTGTATATACACTTTAGCTTTGCATCAAAATAAGGTCCAGTAATTTTTCTTTCTTTATTTTATTAATGGTATTACTTTGATGCTGTTTAGGTACTATTGATGCCAAGGAGCTGAACGTTGCCATGAGGTATTGTTGTTCATAGTCTTAAAATGATTGTCCTAATGTTTGGCTGTGTTCTTGTTGTGAATGACATATTATCTTGACAGGGCCCTTGGATTTGAGATGACTGAGGAGGTATTATACCGTACTCATTTAATTTTCTTCTGATTGAATTGAATTTGCAAGTTACAATTTTGTTTAACATTACCTGTGGAATGTGGTTTTTTTTCTTATTTAGTAATTCGTTGTAACGACATCTAAAAGTTAGCGCTACAGTGGTATTTCCTGATGATATGCTTTTGTTAAAGTTCTGTTTGCATTTCTGATAGATAACCTGCCATGTCATTTCAGCAAATTAAACAAATGATAGCAGATGTCGACAAGGATGGAAGTGGAGCAATTGATTATGAGGAATTTGAGTACATGATGACAGCCAAAATTGGAGAAAGGGACACTAAGGAGGAGCTCATGAAAGCTTTCCATATTATTGATCATGATAACAATGTAAATTTCTGCACTGCTATACATAATTTTATACATCTTGATTCTCATTAATTGTGGTCTATTCAGGGAAAGATATCTGCATCAGACATCAAGCGCATTGCAAAAGAGCTAGGTCAAAATTTCACTGATAGAGAGATTCAGGAGATGGTTAATGAAGCAGACCAAGATAGTAAGTTATCCCAATCATGTCCTGGTCATCTTTCTAATTTTACAAGAAAGCTTTTACTTCTCATTTTGGGGATTTGTATTCTATGGTTAACTGGGTGTGGATGCTTGAGCTTTAGATTATGCTGACGTAATGTTGTTTATATGAAGTAATTTCTAATTGGCAGTTTTCTGCGCTTAAGACATAAAACAGAAAATAATGTGGCAAAAAATATTAACAAGGAAGTATTCGTGATGATAAGAGGTGTCGAACTTGTATGCAAGATTTACTGAAAAAACTACTTGTAGATTTATCAGTTTACATCATTTTCTCTTGCTTTCCCATTTGTCTCTGCAACTACTTCCCATTATTGTGAGACGTTATATCTGTTTTTTTGTTCTTTAAACGTGCAGATGATCGAGAGGTTAGTCCAGAGGAATTCATCAAGATGATGAACAGAACACGCTACCATCACTAGTCGTATCTATATGCGGTAGTTGTTATCTTTGTTTGGTTGCACTTGTATGGGAAAATTAAAAATAAAAAGAAGCAGCCATGGACTCTTGGTACTGTACACTGTGTATGAATGATTCCAATGCTATGATTATGTATTGCGTATGAATCATATTGATGTATGCTCATATGTCAGTGTATTATGAATCATTTCACTTTTTGCACCAAATGGGCACAATGGGGATAGCGTTTTCTAACACCCCAAATACTATCATTATAACAATTATTATATAATTTAGCATATATAGCACCTACAATAGCTATATTTATAAAGAGTTCACAGATACAATAAAATAAATAAATAAAAGGGGTTGATCATGTTGTAAATGCGAACAAATTTTTATTTATAAGGCGGGTATAATTATTGTCTCTGAAGAATTTTTCTGCAGAGTTTTCTAGGATATAATAGGAATTTTCTGATTTTTTTAGGAATTCAGAAATTTAAGTGATTCTTAAAAGAATAAATAAATTCAAGATGAAAAAAAAGAAGAAAAGAGAAGAGAAAATGAGTGAAATGTGTATGATGATTTGGGGGAGTAGAGATATCTATTTATAGGTGTAGATGAACTTAGAAAATCTAATTTCCCAGGATAAAAAGAATGAAAAAAAGAAGAAAAAGAGAAGATGAGTGAAATGTGAATGATGATTTGGGAGAGTAGAGATATTTATTTATGGGTGTAGATGGACTTAGAAAGTTCAACTTCTCATGTCAAATATCTATTAACAACCATGGATCAAGAAGTGGGAGTATAAAAAAAAAAGAGTTAATGGAAAAAGAATCGGTCCTATATATTATGTATATGGGATATGGAATTTTTTTTTTATATATTCTATTTCATAACAATCCTCTATATATTGCAAAAAACAAATATATAAACGAACAAAAGAAAATTTTTTTGGGTCTTCTTATATAAGATGTAATACATTAGAGTTGGTATAACAAGTTATATGAATCCGTCATATATTGAAAACTTAACACACAACGCAGTTGGTATAGTAAAATATATGAACCAAAATACTTGGTGTGTATTAGCGGTTTAACAGTCACAATACACTCTTCACAATTCTTGTATTCTTGTTGTTATCACTATGGTGCGTTTACTAAGTCATGCGTGTGCTTAATATTTATGAGTGCTCTAGAAATCTGACAAATATCTTGATGTAAAATAAAGTAAGGTGCATAATTTTAAAATGATAAAATGCAGAATTTTAAGCAATAAAGTAAGCAAACCCAAGAAAATTTCTCACTGGACATTAAGATAGTTGTCTATCTAGATGTGAAGGTTCATTTCCAAGGATTGTGGAGGGAGAAGGAGATGAAATGAAACTAGAAAAAAATAAAGACCACGGTTGGAAAAATGGACCAGCCCCTTGGATAAATAAATGAAGTGAAGAAATAAAGAAGAAAAGATGAAGAGAAGAGAAGTATGGTGGTGGTGGAGTGTTGGCATGCCACTAAGGAATGAGTCACCCTAGATAAGTCTTGGTTGGCGACACTTAAACCAAGGTTCAAGATAAGACACTCAAAGAAATGAAATACTCTAAGAAACCTCACAAACTTTTCATAAATGTTCAACTTAATTACATGAGAGGAAACCTTCTATTTATAGGCTTTTGGGGGAGGGACCTATATGAAATTACAAAAGGAGACATAAACTTAACCTAAACCTAAAAGCTAGAGTCCCTATGGTCCAAATATGTTAAATTCGTTCCAACCCACCAAAAATACCTCTAAGGGTGTGGAGAACATGAAAAAAGATATGTGCTTCCTTTTGGGTTGTCCCAAGCCAACCAATCCTACATCCTAAGTTTCTTCCTCTCCAAAAAGGGGTGTGGGACATGAAAAAGGAGTGTCCTACACCTTTGGGCTGCCCATGCATGTATCCTATGGATCCAAGGCTTCTTTTCCACCAAAAAAGGTGATATTCTTAAAAAAGGAGGTGCAAAAAGTGAACCTACAAAAGGAAAACGAAAATAAGTGAAAAACTTAGAAAAAGAAAATACTAAGTAAATTCAAAATGGAAGGTGAAGAGAAGGTCTTCCTTCTAGTCATGTTTGTAGTAATCCTCCTAGGGATGACCTCTCCCGCCTCCGGGGCAACTAGGGACTCATCAGATCTCATACAAGAGGTCCCACTCAACACTCATATGGTGAATCAAGCATATGCAGTAAATCATACATTACATGTTAGGGATATGAAATAATTTAAAACTTTGTTTAGAGTAAAATTTATACACCATATAGAATTTTAATTACAAAGTTTAACCTCTCAATTATGCAATATCTAACACTGTCACACACTCTATAGGAATGAACATAATTGATTTTAATCAATTCTAGTGCCAACAGAACTAACAAGTGACTTATTCTTACTCATATAAACCTTATTCATGGGATCTCCAATCATAAAAGGTTGGATTACCATCACTTGTTTGTTTGCAAGTGGTTTGAGTCTCATTCCCTTCGATGTTTCTAGAATCATATTTCTCCTTAGGATTTTTGTTAGAGAATCTGCTAGATTCTGTTTTGACTTTACATAGTCAATGAAAATTGTTCCACTCTTTAGTGACTGTTTCACCAATTTGTGTCTCAATTATATATGTTTGTTCTTTACATTGTAATTCTTGTTTTTTAACTATAGTTATTGTCGATTGACAATCACAATGTATTGACACAAAAGGGATTGGTTTCATCTCTTATGAAATGTTGCTAAAAAGCTTTTCAACCACTCGACTTCACTACCAATCATTTCAAGAGCAACAACCTCTTAAGTATCTCATAAGTCTTGCAAGTGCATCCCAATGTTCCTGATTAGGACATTGATTATACTTACTCAGTCTACCTATTACATAAACAATGTTAAGCTTAGAAAAGTTCATTAAATGTAATAAGCTACTAATTATTTGGGCATACTAAGGTTGAGAAATACAATTTCCTCTATTTTTCTTTAATTTAGAGTTAGTATCATAAGGGGTATTCACTGGTTTGAAGTTATAATACTCAAACTTCCTAAGAAATTTCTCAATGTATTGTTCTTGGGATAGTAAATACTATCTCCTTTCCTTATGATTCTAACTCCCAAAATCACATTACCTAAACCCATGTCTTTCATTTAAAATTTAGATCCCAAACACAACTTAGTTTTAGAGATTATGTCAATGCATATATCAAATATTAGTATGTCATCTACATATAAACATATAATGACACATTCACCACTTTCAAATTTAAAGATCACACATTTATCAGTATCATTAGTTGAAAAACTATCCCAAAGTAGGATACTATCAAGTTTTTCTTGTCACTATTTTGGTATCTGTTTTAATCCATACAAAGATTTTAAAAGTTTGCACACTTTATTCTCTTGACTAGGAACAACACACCCTTCAGGTTGATTCATATAAATTTCCTCTTCTAATTCATTTAAAAAGGTTGTCTTAACATCCATTTAATGTATAACTAACTTATGGATAGCTGTTAGAGCTAACAAAACTTGAATAGGGGCAAAAATATCAAAATAATAAATGTTGGGTTTTTGAATAAAACCATTTGTTATTAATCTTATCTTATATCTATCTATGGATCCATCTTGATACTTTTTCTTAAAGATCTATTTACAACCAATGAATTTTGCTCCTTTAGACAAATCTACAAAAGTCTAAGTAATATTTTTCTTGATTGAGTCAATTTCAATCTTAATGATCTTATCTCAATGTGTTGCATCAGGAGCATTAGTAACCACTAAAAAATTTGTTGGATCATTTTCTTTAGTACAAGAAAACCATTAACCATAGACTATGGCAAAAATTTTGGAGTCAAAGTTATTCATTAATGTTTATAATTCTTAATAAATGAACATAGACTATGATGCTAGACAAAGACTATTCATTCATCCTAATCATTGTCACAACATTTCAACTAAAGTTCTCAATCTAAAGCACTAAAGTATAACATGCCATTATATAATATAAAACGAAATATATTACAAGATCATCATTCTAATAAGAGAATAATGACTAATGAACTCCACGACATGTCATGCATATTATATAAATTAAAAACATATTTTCTCATACAAGATATTGACATATGTAGGAGAATTATGAATATGAAGATCAAGAAAACTTCATGGATGTACAAATAAAGGGAAGCTAAGTGCTGTTTAAAATATTTCATTCAATATGGTATGACAAGTCCACAAAGTATGGCCACAAGTGCGAAATGTAACCATCATTTAGTTTAAAAACACTGAAAGCAAACTCTAATAGGACACTAGTTTTCTAAGAAGGGACTGGAATGCATTCAAGAGATAATTTGAGCCGCTATACATAGAAACAAAAAATAAACATACCAACAGCTTAAACCAAATCTTAATTCTTGACAATGAAAAGGAGACTGTGAACTCCGACCACTTTGTGATTTCAAAGCTTTCCTCTTTAGCCAACTCAAGTTCCAGATAATGCTTGTAAACAATTATTGATAAATAAATTGATAATTTCGTATCATAAGATGACGAATTATTGAGAGCAGAAGCAATGAGGAGAGTGAAGTTAGATTGTAACTATAACAGATTGGGAAGGTAGGCATTTCTTCAAACACTGCGTAAGCAACGTAAATTCTCATAATAAAAGCATAACATATCTCGCAAAATTTTCATCGTACCAAGTAAAGGTGATTTAAATAGCTATGTGAAAAATGACAAGTATCAAACAAAATCTAAGACTATCTTAACCGTTGAGCATATAAATATCGTGTGAGAGAAAGAAAGAAAGTTATTAGTGAAACAAAACGGACACAAACTAATTTCGTTGAGCCCACAAATAGCTATGTGAAAAGAAGGTCTCAATTTTTTAAACATTCAGGAAAAATTTGTCAAAGAGAGTAAAGAGAGTCTGAGTTTTGGAAATATTGTTTGTTTTCTCTTGTATAGAGTTGTTATTCATACCATGTTATCAGGATAAGAAA